TTACAGCATTGTAATTTTACTTTTACTTTGTTGGGAAGATAATGCAAGTGCTGGTAGAGCATTACAGCAGCCAAGGATGGTTGCAGCGAGTGGAACAGTGTGTTCTCCACATGGACATTTCTTCCTTGGACTTCAATCTGGTTATTATATGTGTTCTACATGTCTTTTTGGTTGCTTTCTTGTTGTCTTTCTTTTTTTTTAATCACAAAATTTTCATTAATATTCCTTATCTAAATTGTAGGTTGTCATTTTAAGTCTGGAGCATGGCTTGTATGGTGCTCTGGTGTTTCTTTTCAACAAAGGATTAGATGATTTCGGGGCACCTTTAGAGGAGTAGTTGGTAGTTTTATGAAATAGTCAAAGAGAAAGTGCTTTTGGCCTTGGGTAAGATAGATGGACAGGCATGTTGATTAGGAGGGTTTTTTCCTTGATGGGATTCAAGATGATGCTTGTTTAGTTAAAGGATAGATTCTATTTTGTTCTGGACTCATACAAGCTATATAACTTATCTACCTTTTGTTCTTTACTCCTCGGACCATTCTTAAGTCTTAACCAGTTAAATAACCTCTGTCCATGTGAGCAGCCCAACCCCCAAGTCTAAGGTGGCTTCTGCCTTACTCAGCTGATTTTAGCAAGCTTGAATAAAAACAGATGAGACAATTATATGTTAATTAGCAGAAACTAACGCATGTAGGTACAGTTGTTTTAATCACTTTTCAATGCTTTCTTATTAGATGTGGAGGATTGAAATGATATGAAGACAGTAGTACAGACCATGTGGTTTAGTCTGATATATTGCTTTGTTTTGTTTGTTCAGCTGCCTAAATTAACAGAAGGAACAAGATATATCGGAGTAACTTCTAACAGTCTATGTTAGTTTACAAGTTTATAAAATATTTTTTCCTGATAGAATTCTATATGTTGTTCTTTGAAAGTGAGGCCTTCTTACAAGATTTGGGGAGCAAAAAATTGCATTGTTTACTGTTAATATTTCTTTCCACTTTATTTAGATTAGTGGTTATTTTCTAATAGCGTGGTATTTTAAATTCATTATATATTTAATATCGCATTTCTTTTGATCTTCATATTGTTAGCTTTCTATCATTACTTATCAGGTACAGGATGCTTGTTTGCTTGAAGTACTGCTTTTCCGGTCTTGCTTTTCCACCAGGTATGAGTTTTGCTTTATTGAATTGGTGAAAAAGATGCATGATGTTAATCAAATTATCTTTTGACTTAAAAAAAATTAATTGTCTTTCCTGGCTATGTGGATCTTGAACTGATTTGAACCATAGAAAGTTAATTGACCTGTAATTAATGTGGAATTTGTTAGTTTAATTGCTTATTGTTTCATTAACACACATTTGAAATGCTATCCAATGCATTGGCTTATTGAAAAAGACATCCTATATTAACTTTTATTTTATAGTGATTTCTAGCGATTTTGCATTTCTGAACTAGTACATGTAGGGTCTTACATATTTTTGAATGATTTATCAACCTTGGTTTGGAAATGATTGATGCTGATCATTTGCACAATTTTATTCTAAGAAACTTTGGCACCATCGAATCTGTCAGTTATCACTAAAATATCAAAATTCTCTATCCATAGGACAAGGTACTCTTCCACCGTCAGGCTTGTCATCTCTTAGGACAGAACTTCCGCAGTTTTTGTTAGAGGTTTCTAATGGCCAGGATCGAAAATCAGCTTCAACTTTGGCTTTTGAAGGGGCATACCTTAGTCTGTATCATCTCTTAGAGTTAGATACTGAGGCTACTTTAAATGTTCTCAAATGTGCTTTCATAGAAGACAAATCCCCTGAACCAGACTTTCTTTTTCTGAGTCTGGCAATGAAAATGTCGAAGCTAAAATGGAAATACATTTGATGGCTCAATCTGAAACTATGTTGGTTCAGAATACCATCAATGCTTTGTTCATGTTCTTGATAAAGACTGTCTCTCCAGCAGATGGGCTTGAAAGCAATGAAGACACTGAATCTATAGAAGCATGGTCTTCAAAAAAGGACATGGGTTATCTGTTTGAGTTTGTTGCATACTATGTTGCAAATCAGACTTTGGAATACTTTGACTTTAGAAAATAATAGTCTTTCCACCATTAGTATTGAAACATCCAAAAGAAGAGAGAAGCGATTACTGGCACTTTGGGAGGTAGTGCCAGAGACTGATTGGGATCAATCTTAACGTGTTACAACTTTGTGAGAATGCACACTTTTACCAGGTATATTTACCATGTTAATTTCTTTAATTTCTCACTGTGAACATAATTTGAAGGTTTAGTTTTCTCTCTTCAGGTCTTAAGGTTTGTGTTGTTATGTTTAGGTTTGTGGCTTAATTCATGCCATCAGACATCAGTATCTTGCTGCTCTCGATAGCTATATAAAAGATGTGGATGAGCCAATTCATGCCTTGGCTTTTATCAACAACACGTTAATGCAGCTGAGCAATGGAGATTATACTACTTTTCAATCAGCAGTTATCTCTTGGATTCCAGAGCTGGTCAATCTATGCAGGTAGTACTTCATATGAATTTCGGATTTGTCTCTATTTTGTTATCTTTAAAAAGGTTGTTTCTGCTGTTCTAGAAATGATTTCTTCCTCTTGTCAACCTTATGCTTTTATGATCTTTTGCAGAGAGGGGACATTCTTCTTAGTTATTGACCATTTTAATAATGAAAGTTCGTATATCCTATCTGAACTTAACTCTCATCCAAAAAGCCTTTTCCTTTCCTTAAAGACAGTCATCAAGGTTCTCTTATCAGGCACCCTCAACTACTCTTGTTTAAGAGAAGAAGAGATTGATTATGTCTTTAGTGGAAGAAGAGGGAAAGATTCATCAAAAGAACTTGAAGCATACTTGGAAAGAATCTCTAATTTTCCTAAGTTGCTGCAAAATAATCGTCTTCATGTAACTGATGATGATTGAGCTTTATCTGGAAGTAAGTGCCTATGTATTGCATTGCTTATGTAATAGCTTGCAACTTGCCCAACTCCCCTTGCTGTACAATAGATATGCACAGCTTTAAGTCACATTGTATGGCGTTCCTTATTTGTCATTTCATATTATCTTTTTAATATATATATTTGTTCTTATGATTTAGGTTAGCCACTTTTTATGATCCTGCCTCTTCTAATTTTCCTTTTGCAGTTATTATGTCAGTTTTCAACTCTGGTTTAAAAATGAAGGAGGTTTATAGTGTATATCTCTGCGATTAGGAAATAACGTTGAGATCTTTTATTTTTTGGATGACTGGAAACCCTGATGTTATTTTTGATCTTTATCAAACAGATGAATGACATACACAATACATTGCATGCGTGTATTGAATTGTGCCATTGGAATACACCTCGTTTGAATCCAAAAGAGTCTGAGATGCTTTGGTTTAGATTACTTTACTCGTAAGTTCAGCAACTTCATTATTTGCTTTTCTCCAAAATTTAAGCCTTCTATCCCATGTTTTCAATGTTCAGCTAAATATTTATAAATGAGTTGTGTAAAACTACTGATCAACTTTAGACAACTAAAAATGCATTATTATTTTCCCATTTTCCTCATTAAATTTGAAACTCATTATTTTTTGCACGAGACCTGATAGCTGAGTAGAGGAGATTACATTATATGTGATAGAAAGAGTACATCTAGGGTGAATCACCTTCAAATGATTAAAGATGGAGAGACAGAGTTTGAATCTATAATAAACAAGAAAATACAGTAAATTATTGAGGTATCTAGGAAACGACAAGGAAAAAGGAAAGGTGAAAACTGCTATAATCTCCAATTGCTTGGGTATGTTTTACTCTTTCCTATGCTTACCATCTAAATTTCAATGCAGATTTTGTGAACCTTTGATGGGTTCAAACTGCGATGAAAGTGTATCTGAGAAGGAAAATCATTTGGGAATGCTAGTTGAATCATTGTGTTCTGAAGAGGAAGAGCAATGCATAATCAAGGGGAGGATCCCTATATCTCACAAAGGTGGTCATGTATTGAGGAAACTGTTCTCTCAGTTCATCAAAGAGATTGTAGAGGGAATGATAGGATATGTTCGTCCTCCAACTATTGTATCAAAACTACTATCTGATAATGGTAGCCAGGAATTTGGAGATTTTAAGCTTACCAAATTGGGAATGCTGGAATTTATGGCTACGAAAGTAGAATTCTGGTATGTTTGTTTGTTTTGAATATAAAGATAGTTTATATACTTGTAACTGAATTTAGTTGAAGCATTGTTTTATCTTTATCATTTTTTCTTTAAAAGGGAAAAAGAAATAAGCATACCAAGAAATATAGCCTACCATTTACTGCACCACATTCCACAATCTGTCCCTGTAAATAGGATAGTGCATTGGTGGGCCACACAAGTAGTCCTTCATGACTAAATTTGCATACATAATTGTGAATTTTAATTTGTAAAAGTAAATCCTCCTGATGTTTTCAGTTCATCGTCAGAACTAACTAGGGAAGCTTTACTGTAGGCTTCATCTCAGTGCGTTGAATTCATTCTCACAGCTGATGCTATAAATCTTGAATTGGCGGCATCTAAAAGAAACAAAAACCCTGATTCCGTTGGCATGATGTATATACTACTGTAGTATACATAATTAGGCAACAAATTATGCAGCAAGACTTTATTTCAGAAATGTCATTTGACTTCAGCATAATAACTAAATGTTTCCAGCCCTTCTCTTTTAAGTTGGATTTTGTAGCAACTTAGTAGAACTCTTCTTTCAGTAATAATTTGCAACGAGTAATTTTAATATTAAAATTTTTGGTGAATTTTTTTAGGGATACTTCCAAATCTTTGATTGAGGATGACAAATTTTACTCCATGAGCTTACTGAAGAAGGGAGCTTCTCATAGATGTGCCCCACGAAGTTTACTATGTTGTATATGCAACAGCCTTCTTACCAAGAAGTCTTTTAGCTTTCGTATTCAAGTTTTCAGTTGTGGTCACGCAACTCAATCTTCAATGTGAGCTTCTGGAAAATGAGGCATCAATTGGATGCTCTAATTGTTTGCCTAAGAAGGATACTCAGAAGTCTAGAAATAAATCTGCTCTTACAGAGGAAGGTTTAGTTAGTTGATGGCCCTCTAGACTACAACCAGCACACCCTCACGAAAATTGGCATGTGTAGACTAGCGATACTAGAGATGAACTTCCTTTGAAGCTGCCAACACCAACACTCAGTTTTTATCCTTCATCTTCAGTTTCACGTGCTCCAACTCGTCTCCCTACCACTTCATTCATCAACTAGTACAACATAAATGGAAAATATAATGCTTTTCTATAATCATGGTGGTCATGATTATGGTGATCATGATGGTGCCGGGCATGTTAATGATCAAAATGGTGATGCCCATGGTTTCTACGCACTGCCGACACACCGAATGGACTCCCTAGTACAGATCCAAACTCAAAAAACCAACAGTGAAGAGACCTATTTTTTTCCTAATAACGTTTTTTTTTTTTTATCTCAATATCAATTTGGCTAATTGTTTAATTTGATAAATCGATCTTAATAGTCTTTTCTTTGAGAATATTTTCAGAAGTCAAAAGAAATGAAACTTGAAGGACAGCAAACGACATCGTTTTTGACAATCGAACGAGAATTGATAGTAGCAAAGGCAGATTCACACATCTTCCCAACTCCCAACCGTCATAGCCCCAAAAGCAAAAGAAAGAGGCAACAAGAATCACAAATATTTTGGTTAAGACTTAAGAATAAAAAATAAATGTCTGTTGCAGTCCTACTGACTTCACGAAAAGAAAACCCTCCAACTTCCCCAGCTGTGTTTATGTGTCGTTGAGTTTCATCAAATCCTTCCAGTCGATTATTACCACGCCCTCTCCCTCGTTTCCTCCGCCGTATCCCTCCCCCCTCCCATTTATATCTTAGTACCCTCTTTCTATCCCTTCCCTCTTCACCTCCCATTTTCTCTCCTTTCCACCTCCTCGACAAATACTCCTTTTCAGAAGAAAAAATGTCTAGCGCTTTCTCCACAGCCAAGTTCGCTACCCAACCTTGCCCTCTCAAAACCACTTCCCCCAGATCTCATGACAAGCTCCTCTTCGACCTTCTCAAAATCCCTAACGCCCCCTCACCCTTCCTCGGATCCATCCGCAAACTCCGCCTCAGCTCTTCCTCTAAGTTGAATCTCCATCGTCAATCTGGGACCGTTGTCGCCGTCTCCGATGTCGTCAAGGAAAAGAAATCCAAATCCACCCCCAATTTGGTAACCTCATTTTTCTCTTTTTTTTTTGGATAATTTGTAATTTTATTGCCTAAAACAGTTATTCACTGCTACCAATATACAACTCATATAAATCTGTTTAATAACAAATCTAGATTTTTATTCAGTTTTCTACTTTTTCAGTTAATTACGAAAGAGGAAGGATTGGAATTATACGAGGATATGGTATTAGGGAGAGCATTTGAAGATATGTGTGCTCAGATGTATTACAGAGGTAAAATGTTTGGTTTTGTTCATCTTTACAACGGCCAAGAAGCTGTTTCTACTGGTTTTATTAAGCTCTTAAAGAAACAAGATTCTGTCGTAAGCACGTACCGTGATCACGTGCACGCCTTAAGCAAAGGCGTTCCTGCACGTGCCGTCATGAGCGAACTCTTCGGTAAGACCACCGGCTGCTGCCGCGGCCAAGGTGGGTCGATGCATATGTTTTCCAGTGAGCACAATTTGCTTGGAGGTTTTGCTTTTATTGGTGAAGGGATTCCTGTTGCCACAGGAGCGGCTTTTACATCTAAGTATAAGAGGGAGGTTTTGAAAGAAGCGGATTGTGATCATGTCACGTTGGCGTTTTTCGGGGATGGTACTTGTAATAATGGGCAGTTCTTTGAGTGTTTGAATATGGCTGCGCTGTGGAAACTACCTATCGTGTTTGTTGTTGAGAATAATTTGTGGGCTATTGGGATGTCTCATTTGAGAGCTACTTCTGATCCTCAGATTTATAAGAAAGGACCGGCTTTTGGGATGCCTGGTATTCATGTCGATGGGATGGATGTTATGAAGGTAAGGGAAGTGGCTAAGGAGGCAATTGCCAGGGCTAGGAGAGGAGAAGGCCCAACATTGGTCGAATGCGAGACATATAGGTTTAGAGGACACTCATTGGCTGACCCTGATGAGCTTCGTGACCCTGGTAGGCATTTTATTATCTTTGCTTATTTATTATGGTGTTATTTTTATGATTTAATTAGCAAATTCTGGTTATTGTTTTTTTTTTCCTCTTTTACTTTTTTGTATGATAGAAATAGCTAGTTCTAGTCTTTGCTTTTTCCTATTATTTTGTTTCCTGAAATGTTTGTTTGATTGAGCTATTATTAGATTGCAATGATAAAACAAAAAAACAACCCGCATGCATGTGTTGTAATGGTCTTGTATAGTCTTAAAGTTGAAGTGATTGCTTTCTAAACTCTGTTATTTTTTCCATAAAAATCTGTTTGTTATGTTATGGCTCAATAAGAATCCGTTTGTTATGTTATTGGTAAAAGCATGCTGATTGAAGTTAAATGATTGAGTTTCTGGATTCTTGGGATTAGTTCCTGAGTGAATAAATGATGTCGAGGGAGATTGCACATTTAACTTCTGTTCTTAATTTGGATCTTAAGAGTTCATAAATGTACACTTTTTTCAATTTCTTGGTTCTTCTTTGGCAGCTGAGAAGGCTCACTACGCAGCAAGAGATCCCATCACAGCCCTGAAGAACTACCTCATTCAGAACAATCTGGCCAGTGAGGCAGAGTTAAAGGCCATAGATAAGAAGATTGATGAGGTGGTAGAGGATGCTGTCGAGTTTGCAGATGAAAGCCCCCTTCCTCCTCGGAGCCAGCTGCTCAAAAATGTGTTTGCAGATCCAAAAGGTTTTGGAATTGGACCTGATGGCCGATATAGATGTGAGGATCCAAAGTTCACTGAAGGAACTGCTCATGTCTAAGCTTTCAAATTAGGGTCGTGATCAATCTATTTATGCTCACTTTTTATTATTGCATGGCCTCATAGATTCAGTTTGTGCAAGCAATCTCTTGTCAACATCTTTTTAGCGTTTCTTGTGTAGCAATTATGTGCTCTTTTTAATTTAATTTCCATTTGTTACTTGGACAAATGCTTTGAATGGCAAACCCCAAAGGGTTGGTTGGCCCTATTTCCTGCTATTTTGGTCTTTCTTGTAATTTCTTATAAACTCCTCGTTTGGCCTCTCATAAGCATTTCAGCATAGCAACAGCTAGCTTTTTCGTTTTTGACCCTTCTAATAGAAACTTGAAAGCTCTTTGTTTGAGTCATAGTTATGTTTATTATCTTTAAGGAACGTGCTTTCTTACTTGCTTAGTGTTAGCTGATCATTTTAATAGTTTTTAATATTAGGTATGGATTTTTGTGAGAATTTATATTTGAGAGTATAAAATTTATGCACTATCAACCAAATGTCACTTTATTAATAAATAAATATTAATTTTTAAAATAAATATACAAAAATTAATATTTTTAACATCATTTAACTTATTTCATTAATGCTATGATATTATTTTATTTATTGATAATATATAAAATTTATATATTAATAATGCATCAAATATAAATATTTTTTTAATTGTTCATTTGATATTTTTAATAATTTTTTAAAAAATAATAATAATTGCTTTTGTTAAAAATTATTAGTTTATTTTAGTTTAAGAAAAATGACAAGATTGATTAATAATTAAATTTTATTAATTAATTCCAACGCTATTCACTTGATTCTTAGAAAAATATATTAAATAGGATATAAATGAAACAATATCTTAAAGGAAAAAAAAAAAAAGAGAATCTTTTGGTATCGCTTTTCCAAATTAAAATCCACAATTTGCATAAATAATTACCGTAATGAATTCTTGGTTTAATTCATCACTCCATCGAAACAAATAGATGGCTACATATTGCATCAAATTTTGGTTTCATTCAAGCGCTGACAAGAAAATATATCCCACTTTCTTGTAAATATTTTGGAAGTTGAAACCAGTTTCCTTTGGAACACCAGGAATCAGGCCCAATTTTAATTGCAAATGGGTAATGATAGTTACAAAAATCGCTTGAAGAAACCATTTTTTATAGTTACCAACCATCTGATTCTAATGCTGGAGCTTCAACAACCTTGGTACCGCCACAAAATTTGGTGGACCATGGAAATACGTTGTGACAACTGTGATAAAGCGCGCCCTTATTGAATCAAACCACTTGCCATCAAAGCTTCTATTGATGGCTTTTCTGTGGATCCAAACATCACTCACCAAAAATGGTATCTCTGCATCATGCTCCCATAACGGGTGGCTAAAGCTAGAGGCAGACAGCTAATCTTCCATATACCTGCAATTGTCACGGTCCGTGCGTAAGTCTTGAGTCAAGTGGATCCTGAGACGCAGCTTGTTCTAAGCTTAAGCTCCGGCTCGTGAGACAATCACCCTCTAACAATATCAAGCGACTAGAAGCAATAATATGATTTGTAATTATTATTGCCAACATTTTTTAATTCCTTTAGCATGTTTCCATCACTGCCACATATTGGAGCTATAGATACACATAAAATAATTAAATGGATTTTTTTTCCAGCGTGGGAGTGCAGGCTTATGCTATAAGGAAGCCCAACCACCATCAAATATGTTGTATCTGTTCTCCCATGTTTAATTAATGGTGATGAATTTAATTTTCTGTTGCAAGCGTATTCAAGAAGTTTTAAGAAAGAAGTAGGATCATGTTATAGACGAAATATTTTGCAAGCTGATCCTTTGTTATTGCCATGGGTGATGCTGTCATTTTCTTTTGCATCCAACTACAACTGACTGATTGTAGTTTGGCAGGTTAGTTGTATAATGTAATTTGCTTCAATAGGTTAAAATACGGATTTCTCATGGCTGACTCTTTTCTGTACAACTTGATATTCTAGACTGCGTAGGATCTTTCATTCCGTCTTTTTCTTCTTTTTTTTTTTTTTTGTATCAAATGTAAACGGATGCAAAAGTTCTGATTGTTGAATAGAGTTGAAATAATTCTAGTGAAAGGTATATTCCTGAATTCAAAATCAAGGGGAAACGCATTTATGATTCTATAACAAATGTATCATTGTTCTTTGAGATTGATGTTTCATGAGATATGCACCCTGCCTCCTTAAAAGGGTGGGGGCAAAACTCGAAAAGGAAGAAACAAAAGAGGAGAAACAAAGTAATTTCTATTGCAGAAATTGAAGAAAGTGATTTCCAAGTTCCAACTAAAATGGTGAATGGAGTTGGAGCGAAATACCAGACTTGTCACATGGAGAAAGAGAGGAGACCCATGGAACTCTGACATGCATACATATGCAGGTGGCACTCGGTTCAATTGCAACGTGGAATACTGGGATCCAGTGAATGACGGCATCGACGAGGCATGAAACTATCGGGATTCGGGGCCAAGCATGTTGAAAAGGCAAAGAACAGCCACGTATTCTTCCAGTGCATATACATTTGGGTAAGAACTTATCCATTTGTCGGTGCTGCAGCTGCTGGTCAGTGGGCACAGTATGCCCCACCCAATGTGCTACTTTTTTTCTGCTTACCATCTAGAGAGAAAAAATAATAATAATAAAAAGAAACTATCCCTTATCATTCCTCTATCTCTTACCCACGAAGGCTCCTCTCTTCGGGACCCGGATTACAAATTACAATCTTTAAATCAAAAGCATGAAAATGAACGTCAAATTATTTCAACCGTCGCTTTGGGCAAATGATTTGGAACTTCATCTTTTCCCTTTCTACTGTTTTCTTTTATCTCATTTTCCCCTCTTCTTTTACATTAACAAAGTACCAAAAGGATGATAATATTGGATAAGGTGACAACATCATATATAATAATGTCTGTTAGTATGTGATACTGATAGCTCTAGCCTGATAAGTATCAGTCCACAGAGGCCTTATACTGTTAACATCATATAATGTCCTACTACTGGCTCAAGGCCTAAAGCTATTGACGAGCCATCATACCAATCATCAGCTTCGCAGCTCTATCGAACCTTGAGTAAACTAATTTAAGGTGTTTATGTTTTGTTAAATTTTTTTTTGGTAAAAGAAACTTTTAAGTCAATTTTGATCAATACTTGCATTACTTTCTAATGTATAATAATAATTATTAGAGATAAAAGGAAAAAAAAAACTTTTATGATTAATGTATCATGAGGGACTAGTAAGTAATGGATCTGAAGGGGGCCTCCGGCTATATTCCTTGAAGTAAAAGGCGAAACAGGAAGTATATATTCACACATATTGTTCTCATTCTTTAATTTTGTTTTCAACAATATTGTCACTAGGCCAGCCGTCACCACCAAGGAACCCTCCTCCCTCTTTCAGTTTCTATCCATTTTATTGTGCAAATACCGTCACATTTATATTCACTTTTCCATGAAAGACCAAGAGCAATCACAAGACCCTCAGCGACAGCAACCCCCATCACCCAAAATGGGCGAAGACAAGCAAGCTCCCCCTCTCTATCCTAAACCCAGGCCACCAAGCAAAAGCCAAGGAGGTGCAGGCCGGTCCTTTTGCTTATGTATTTTCATCTTCCTCCTCTTAGCAGGAGCCACAGCGCTTACTGTTTGGCTCATCTACCGTCCCCACAAGCCTCGTTTCACTGTTGTCGATGCTGCTATCTATGAACTCAACGCCACCTCACAACCCTTCATTTCCACTTCCATGCAGTTCACAATTGTTACAAGAAACCCCAACAGGAGAGTCTCCATCTTCTATGAAAAGCTGCAAGCTTATGTTTCGTATAGAAACCAACAGATTACTCCTCCAGTGGACTTGCTGCCACTGTACCATGAGACAAAGAGCACGGTGGTACTGTCTCCGGTGCTTGGTAGCGAGACGGTGCCAGCATCGGCAGAGGTGGTGAACGGACTGATGATGGATGAAGCTTACGGAGTGGTGGTGCTGAGGGTGGTGATGTTGGGAAAGTTGAGATGGAAAACTGGAGCTATAAAGACAGGAAAGTACGGAATTTATGTGAAATGTGATGTTTGGGTTGGTTTGAAGAAGGGAGTAGTAGGGCAGGTGCCTTTGCTTGGCGCTCCTCCCTGTAAAGTTGATATATGAATTATGTAGAGATATGTATATGTATCTCTATCTGCTTTATCAGATATGAAGTATGTTGAGGAACATCAAACATGTACTCCTAAGCAATGTGATCAGAAAAATTAATGCAAAGGGGTTTCTTCTTCACTTTTTCACTATCATCTTTGTTTCAGTTCGACTGCAGATCAGTGTAAACTATGAAGTAGTAGCTTCTAGTTTGTTCTGAAATTTGTGTTTTGTCGGTTTACAATTTTTGAGATGGATTGCCACATGGCCCCAAAGTTTAGACGCATGGCTCTACATGCGTCTAAAGTTGGCCACCATCTGTTTTATTATTATTATTATTGTTATTATTATTTATTTATCTTTAGTTTATTGTTTGTCATACATAATATTGACCATACATTCCTCACTTGCAAACTGAGACAAAGTATTTCACCGACAAAGGAAACAAGTTAGGATTCTTTAATTAGGTGCTGATAGAACCTTTCGTTTTCTGTATTCCTTTTAAGTAATATTCCCTTCATTTGCCTTTGCTTTATTATTACTAATTAGTTGCCTTATATACCTCATATCGATTGCTTAAATCATATCTTATTAACATATTGAACCAAGAGAAAGAATAAAGAATAGGAAGAAAAATATACTAATGAAAATCTTGATTGAAAAAAAGCATTCCTTAATTTTCTTTTTTGCAGAAATAACATGGGTCAGAGGGTATCAAGCAAATAATTCTCGCCAAACAGAGAGGCAATTCTTTCCAACCATCATGGATCTTTTTCACCTTTTGCGTCCTCATCATCCGCTTGACAAGGCAGGAGCTTAAACCTGCACAAGGGACAGGTCCCGTGTCCCTGATCAACCCACCCATCAACGCACTCCCTGTGATAGAGGTGACTACAATTGCCAAGCCTTAGTGCGTTACCCTAAACCCAATAACCAGGCTAAAGCGTCTTGAATCAAGAGAACATGTTGTTTAACCAATCTTTCTGCAACTTTCAAATTAAACAATCTCGATGGTTTTTGGAGTTACTAAATTACTATTAAAATTGACAGACCAACCCAAAAGCTTGACTTCTGGCCTATGTTTTCTTTAACTCTGAAAATTACATTAACCATGTAAGACTAAAAATTATCCTATTTGTTAAAAAAAAACGACCATGAGAATGTGTTTAAATTGGCCGAAGATAACACCAAGTATTTTATTAAATTTAAAGATTGAATTAACACTCATTAAAAAAAAAAACAGTTTTTTTTGAAGAAACAGGAAGGAGAAAGACGTGCTAGGCTCGATGGAGGTCATTTAATTGGTCAACAAGGCCCAGCCAACTAACAATTAATGGCCATACCAGACTGTTCATTTTAATTAGGCCCAAAGTATTAAAAATGTAGTGCCAATAGCTTTTGGTCTTTGGTCCACAAAAGAAGAGGCCCAATGAATTTTAAAACCTGGTCCAAGTGTTAAGACTGTAGCTTAATGATCTTTTTAATGTTTTATTTATATGGGATATTACTGTGGTGAAGATCCTGTTAGCTTGCCATGTCGAAATCAGGCCAGAAGCAGATGCTGACATGGTCTTAGACAACGTAATAGAACGTATGAGAAGGGAGTATAATAGCAGTCATGTTACCAGACTGGCAGTCATAGAGCGTTAATGGAAGGGAAGATTTTTTGGGGCCTCATTGTCCTCTCTTTTGAAAGCTTTTTATATCCCAAGGATCAAACTCTATATATATTAGGTGGCTTATGGTTGATATTTTATCCGGATTAGCACATGATTTTCTGCTTAGAAGTCCATATCCAAGACTTAATCAGTAGATATTATGTAAACTTCGTTCATGGAATCATCCCTTTCGGTGCATTTCATGTTTATTACCATTTTAGTTCGATAGATGCATGCATCTTTCTTCTTAAGGGAAAAGTTTTCATCATGCTGTGAAAGAAAGTTAGCAATCTTTACCAACACAGGTGCATATCCAATAATTGGGGTCTACCACCAATTAAATTTTTTGCGTCACAGGGATCATATGAGATGGGGCTAAGCACCTGGTCCGTGAACACGTACTCAGTTACTATGAACAGATTGGCATGTGATGTTGGGAGGTGGGGACACTGGCATCGTCTCACTCAGTCCGTGCACTTGAGATTTCCATTATACCCTGATATTTTTTCTCTGAAATGTGTCCGGCAGCCCGTTTAAATCTAGAATCTGTCATGGTTACAGGTGAATGAGCTGAAGAAACCAGTTACGTAAATTAAATGAAAATGAAATTCAACTTGCAAGAAAGGGATAAGGTTCCTTGCAATCCTGGGGCTTTGGTTTAACCAAGAAGATAGACAAGAATACTGTTTGATGAGACTAATGCCAGCTCGGTATGCAGTGGTAACATTTACGGTTCTTTTTTTTAGACCGACTCTAATGTGTGGGCGTAATCTATGAACTACAGAACAAGACCAAAAATTGCAGTTTTCTTGAGAAAGAGAATGCCTCTGGTTGTGTGGCTAGAGATGTGCAAAATAGTTTTATAGGTTGAAAAGGGCTATACCGCAGTCCAAATGGATAAGATTATTAAGACATTATCAGATGAATTATGTGTCCTCAATTCTCAGGCTCCGATTTTATTAGATTGTGTTTGTCTAATTTTGTGAGTCCTCTTTTATCTCTGCTTTTGCTGGTGCGTGAAGCTGTGAATAAAAACGCATTAGTCACGTACATATCTTGCCACTCATGAACCATGAAGGGACGTGTGAGCTGTTCAATCGCTTCCTATTAGGTAGAAAGAAAGGAGTTTGCCACATGCAGAACAATCATTCAGAAGAAAATTTTTTTATAAAAAATTGATTGAATGGGAAAGGAAATCGCCTTATAAGACAGGGTTGGTCTCCATAAAACAGTTGACAGCAACGGTGTTCTAATAGCAACCCAAAAAATTATTACTACTTGGTCTGGCAGTCAAGATTGTTGTCTTTGTTAGGCTTCTGAAAGATTCGAGTCAGAGTCATGCCTTGATCATCAGGTAATTCCTCTGAAGCTATCTAAATGCTGCTGGAGGTGCTATTTTCTTAAATAAAAAGGCATAATTTTTTTTTCAAGTTTGTATAGTATTACTAGGCTCTGAGCAACTACAAGGTAGTGTTTTTATCTGATAGTGGAGGCAGAGAGATTTGGGACTGCCAAACTAGATGAACCAAGAACATTATTTCCTACAATTTTCGACATACAAGGCCCTTCTAATGGGGTAAGTGACTTGCAAAATAGGAGCAATGTCGCAGAGTAAAGTCATGGAGACAGTTTAAATTTTACCAGTGGAGGCCCCCCTGAAATCATTAACGCTCATTGGTACATTTAAATCTTAACCATACTCAAGAAGGACTCTCCATTGGTTGAAGAGGAACTTGACTAATTAAGCTTGAAGCAAAAGACAGATCTAAAACTCAATTTCCTTCTGCTTCCACTTGAAGACAAATTTTCTGTCCTCGAGACAATTAATGTAGAATAAGCTCACAGCTGTGGCTAAGGAGAGCTTAGGTCCCTGTCAAAGCTGTTTTTTCAATTTTGAGAATAAGAAAAATGGCAACTTCTCCACATGTTTTTGGGACACCAAGGACGCTCATCCTTGAATGAAAATGATAAGTTTGTAAGCTGCGAATTTATTGTTATCCATATGAATTTGACCAAATGAGATCATATTAAAAGTTAATCTCTTTTCCTTTCCTGTCTCAGTCTCACCTCTTATTATTATTATTATTATTTTAACTAACAGCATGATGGAGGTGATACCATTTCCTTCCCCATTTTCTTTTCAACCCAAATTAGATAGTAAGTATTGAGTTTGAAGGCAAATCAATTTAACCATTTAACCATTTGAGCTAGGAATCTAAATAGAACTGAATTAGCAAACTCTTCCCTTGTCCTTGTAACCAGAACCAGAAGGAAGGGTCACTATTACCACCCTGGAGGCAAAGGAAGTCTTAATTGTACAATTGGACCCATGTGCAATGGAAAATGAAGGTTATATGCGTAGCAGTAAAAGGGGGAATTCCCTGGTGGATTTTTACAAAAACAAAAAAGAAATAGATGCGCTATAAGGAAATGACCCATCATCAGACGGGTGACACAATCCATAGGAGGACTTTCCAAAGCTTTTCTTTTACGTACGCTTGAAAGGGAAGTCCCCACAACTGTCTGTCCCCGCTGCTAGACAAAACTGCCACCGCCAATAATGCTTGGGACCTTGTAAACTAGACAACCTCCCCTCTCTCTCTCTCTCTCTCCCCCCCCCCCCCCCGCTTCTCTGCTAAAAGCTAAGTCTCACCAACTCTCCCAGTCCCAAATATATCCTGCATATCTTCTCACTCTCAGTTGGGTCTTTTCCCCCCTTCGTTTCACACCACATCTATTTCTTGTTTCCATTTTCTTCACCATTGTTTTACCCCAGCTTCGAGTTGCATTCTTACTCTGATGACATTTTTCTCTTTCTTTCTGTGAGAGTTCTTCAAAGCATTTAATATTATTCTATTTAGGAGTATTACCAGCACGAGAAAACTAAGGAATTAAATTGTGTTCGGGTATGGGGTCTTATTCTGCTTCTTAGGGGTTACATTTATGACTTGTGTTTGTTTTCTTAGCATCACCATATGGAATGTTGGTAACTGAGAGAGAGATACAGAACGAGAAAGAGAGAATTTAAGGCATTCCTTCCAAGTACTTATTACTACTAAACTGTTATGGAGAGGCTCCAAGGACCAATTAATCCTTGCGTATGTTGCTTTGCTTACTTTAGTACTTCTGTTTCTTTTATACTTCCTCTTTTCTTCAATCCTTTTTCTAGAATCAAGATATAGATTGCATCTGCATTTACTCCTGTAAAAATGCTTGCATTCAATGCAGCGTGGTTTTTTGCTGCAAAATTCTAACATCTGCGACTGCTCTACTGCTGCTTCTTACTCTTCTAACATTCTATTCTCACACTGCTTTCATTCTCTCTTATCTGCTGAGAAACCCTGAGTCCTCCATCCGATTAGTTTCAGTATTTTTTTTTTCAAATTTCTTTAGATGGTTGTTATGTGAACCCACTTAAGAATTTTTCTCATTTTCTCACATTATCATTTTCTTTTGGTTTTTGTTTCCTACCTTCAAATTATTCATTGCAGTTATTAGGAGAGGATTTGGAAGTGGAATGCTTAGAACAAGGATTTGTTAACTCAGAGAGCTTAAGGTTTGGAGAAAAAGAAGAAGAAGAAGAAGAAGATGCACACTTTTCAATACCAAGCTTAGAAGACAAAATGCCATTCCTTCAGATGCTTCAAAGTGTAGAATCCCCACAACTTTTTGCCTTCAAAGAACCCAACTTTCAGACACTTTTGAGACTGCAACACTCGAAGAAGACTTTGGAGATAAACAACAACCCCTTCGTCCTGGAAATGGAAACCCAAATTCAAGCCATAGAGTTTGAAAGCTGTGTTACCCATGAAGTGCTCGACTTACATTCACCAGTCATATCTGAGACCAAAGACTTTAAAAGGAACGCAAATTCCAGTTCATGTTTTGAAGTTGTCAGCTCCGAGTCCAACCAAGACCCACCAAAGTCAGCAACAGCAGACAATTGTAGTAGAGAAGGTAACTCTGGTTCCTCACCTCAGAAAAACTTCACAAAATCCCCTTCCATTACTCGAGAACGAAGAAAGCGAAAACGAACGAAGCCAGCCAAGAACAAAGAAGAAGTTGAGAGCCAACGGATGACCCACATTGCCGTTGAACGCAACCGTAGACGTCAAATGAATGATTATCTAAATTCTCTCCGCTCTCTTATGCCTCCATCTTATATCCAAAGAGTATATCAATCTAATCCCAGCAAATTTTTAATCCCACAGTTAGGTGGTATAGCTATCGTTTCTTTACCAAATATCATATTTTATTTTGTTTTACAGGGTGACCAAGCGTCTATTATAGGAGGTGCAATTGACTTCGTTAAGGAACTAGAGCAACTTCTTCAATCCCAGGAAGCGCAAAAGAAAATGAGAAGAATTGAAGAAAGTAATAATTCAGTGTCAAAGTCTGCAATGGAAATTTCACAGCCGGAATCTGGAATTGGATCTGAAGATGGGAATTGCGGAGAGGAAGTACATGCAGAAAGCAAGTCAGGTGCAGCTGAAATAGATGTTAATGTAATACACAATCATGTAAACTTAAAGATTCAGTGTTCAAGAAGACCCGGTCAGCTGTTACAAGCCATTGTCACCCTGGAAAGTCTTAGATTAACTGTTTTGCATCTCAACATTACTTCTACGCAAGCTTCTGTTCTTTACTCATTCAATCTCAAGGTAAAACTAATATGTTTTTTAGTTTAGTTTTTTCTTTTTTTAACCTAGGTCTTTACTATTCAACAAGTACTTGCTCAAACCCTAGTTCCAAAATTTCTCAATATTTGTCTTGTTCTTTTGTTGTTTTTTTTTGTTATTTTCTGGGGTGTGCTGCAAATTGTAATGGCAGATGGAAGACGACTGTCACCTAAGATCAGCGGATGAGATAGAAGCAGCAGTTCATCAAATATTCAGCTAAATTCAAAGGTTAAAAAAAAAAAAAAGGATTTGGTCGTTAGGCAGCTGACTTGATTCCTGGAGGGAATAGTACGGGTAGAAAAGGAAGACCAGGGAAAAGGTTGAAAGAAAAGGGGGGCTGGGGCTTTTGAGAATAGAAGAAAGGAAACAGAGGGCACCTTCCACTGTGTCCATTTGAAGCAATGTTTTGTACCACAAAGACAATGCAAGACAGAGCCCTTGATGTTTACAGCTTAACTTAAGAAACTTCCCTTGTTTATCACTAATTATTTCTTACTTATTAGAATGATAAATATATTTAATCTTTGGTTAGCTCTTTCCAAGTTTTTTCTTTTTTCGTATTTTGTGGTTTTAGGAGGATGATTCTATTCTATCCTAGTACTAGTTTTTGGTGTGGACTGTGGAGTGGTGAGAGTTGAGGGTGAGTGGGGGTCCAATTTAGGGTGTATGGCTTTCATCGAGTTTAAAAATTTGCTGTATAAATCTAAATCTCGTTATTGCACTTTTGCGAGTGATGCTCCTGTTTTTATACTTGTCCGTAATGTATGGCCATGGATGTTTCATCATCACACACTGTCCTCTCCGCCTACTCCTTTTTTCCTTTGCCTTTTCCTGTTCGCATCTTTCTTTTTCGACTCGTGTTCTTTTAGGCACACTTCATTTTCCAGCTTTAACTTCATGGGTGATGGACCACTTCTTATATTTATGACTCTCAAAAGTACAACTGATTCATCACTCTTCACAACCGTTCAAAACCTAAGAGTACGCAAACTCATCACAATTTCATATCCTAAATTCTTAATTGGCATTTCTTAATAATATACTCACATCCGCTATGGTATTATCATAATTGTCTTAAGTTTTCATAAACGTAATGATATATTTGTCTGAATCAAAATGACCTTACTAAATACAAATTCAAAGAATACAAGCAATGCTGTAATAATTTAGTACTATCCATTATGGTCTGCGTAGGAGTTAACATGAGATAATCTATTGTAGTCTCGATCTACTAGTAATATGAGAACCTAAAAAGTGCATTTTGTGCCAAATGCAAGGCAAAGGAAAAAAAAAAAAATATATATATATATATATATATATATAGAAGCAATTGGTGTCGTACTTCTAGGATTTATATATTATTTAAGAAGAAAATGATGAAGAAAAGATGCTTAATCAGAATCTGGTTTTGGAATTAGAGTTAGTCCTGATCCTGAGGCGGAAATGGCATCATGATCATCTCTTTTGAACATGTAAATCCTTTTTTTTTTTTTTTTTAATCAAAAGCTACAACCAGTAAATCCTTTTTTTTTTTGGTTCATCACAACTTTTTGTATTGAACTTCTTCATTGTGCCATCAATTGTGATTCATTATTAGCTTAAAATTAATTCATCAAAGTAAAGGAATGGACAAAACTGAGGAATATTAGCAAAATAATATTATTTATGCGCTAATCCCCAATTTTTGGTCCTCGAAGGTGCTCATTAGGCCCCATTTAAGAATTTTGTAGCTAAGAAACTACATGAAAACAAAACCTGGAACATTAACATCATAACATTACTTTGCAAAAATTTAGGTTAATGACCTAGAAGAGCCCTTTTTAATTTTCCCCAAGACTAGATAAAGCGGTAATTCACAATTACAATATAGTTGCAGGAATTTCAATTACTTGAGGAAAGCCTGACAGGAAAGACAAGAATGGCAGTGATGATGGGTTGGGATTACAAATATTTGATGAATCCCAAACTGTCTCCATTTCCTGACGCATCACCAAGAACCACAGAGCTCATGGGCTCATGTCTCATAGTCGACTTGGGTACTCTACTCAGTTGCATTGACTCCTAAATTTTATCAACGGGGTATTTGGATTGAAATGACAACCTGAAACTTTCATGCATCAGCAAAATTTGACCCTGCCTGTGACAATTTCTAAGTTGACAAACCCATTAACTAAACACAAAATTTCCAAACTAATCACACCATGTTTTTAACTAATGGGGCGAGAATTAATTAAGAAAAGCAGATGAGTGACGTGGTATATAGAAGTGAATACAGGATTCAAACTACACTTGGATGTATTGAATAATAAATAAATTAAGGGTCAGTGGTTTTCTTCAAAACAAATATGATTTAGTGTAATAAGTATAATGCATACATTCAAAGTATAATGGTCTCCAAGTCTTTAATTTAATGATTAAAGGTGCTTGAATAAACATCAAAAATCTGATTTTAAATTAAATTTTTTTTTATTTGTATTAGGGCTTTAGCTTCGTGTAACCAAAAAAAAAAAAAAGTGTAATGATACATTTAGTGTAGAGACAAAAGTACTCTTATTTATACAAACAAACTACAAAGGAAAGAGAAGGAGGAGGGTTTTGACGGAAATAGGCAAAGTCAAAGCTAATTGATGAAGAGCAACCCACGTTCTAGACTGAAAATTGTCATAGGGGTCAGAGAGGGAGAGCTGCAAAGTGTGCAACAGCTTAAAGCACACATCCCCATGTGTAAGAATCAAAAGATGTCCGGGCCAGGGACAAATCATCCTCCCATTGTAGCCAAGTCCTAGTCATTGTGGTCTTCGTGTTGCTTCTTTTTACGGCCAAGGTCAGTCCCAATCCAACATCATATGGTTTCTTCCTAGCCCTTTCTAAAACCCCTATACAAGCTACAGCTCCAAGATTACTACCTCCTCCTCCTTCTATGTTATCAGTTTCTTTTCAATGATCCTAAGCTCTCTCTTTCCAAGTCAATGATCCTAAACTAAGCTGATACTCTAATAAAAATAGTACTAGCAATTTACAGTAGTTTTAGACATACAATACTGGAGCCAAAACATGGGCAATTCCAACCGTATTAAAAATAAATTAGTATATAGAACATGGATCCAAGAAGAACGTTGGTCACAGATAATGGCATAAATGAATGTTTCATTGGGAAGGACGACTGGACGAGCCAGCATATTCAACCTAAAGGCAATTAATCTCGCATCTCTATATATGATTATCATTGGCAGTAGCTTATTTTATTCACGCTTTTCCACATTATCATTAGCATTACCTTGAGTTTTGTAAATTTGTTTAAGCTTTTAGAAAGTATTAATTGAGAAGTTGAAAGTGGTTTACCAAAGAAATCGCCGTCAGCTGTAGAAAGAAAGACATTGGGACCACTCAGAAGATCGCTTTTTCTTTTTTCAGCTTTTTGCAGCGTCTCTGCCCCTAGTTTGATACCACAGGTGACATGGGAATGTGACTACGTCCTCTCATGAAACTAAGCTTTCAAAACCCCTATTCAAATTTTTTTCATCTCATAATTTTTGTAAAATTTATTCAATAATCTGAATTTATTGTTATTATTAATGAACAATGGAGTAGAGAATTCTTAAAGAAGGTTAGTGATGGTATTAATAAAATAAGGAGATTGAATCATTATGCCTGCTTAACAATATAAGCATTAATTGTCCCATGGTTAACAACAGTTGTATAGCCTAAGAATGCGAGCAAGGGAGTTAACCATAAAACAAAGTCACCGCCCACCTGATTATTTCCCATCAAAATTTAGGAATATTGAATCACATTAATTTATTAATTAAACTTTTTAAAAATGTATTTAATTGGTCAATAATCATATAATTTGTTTATAAAATATTAAATTATTAAATTTAGCAAATAAAATTTAACCAGTCACAAGTATGAAATATATATGTATACATGTGCATCTTTCAAAAATATATGTGCATTACTAAACGAAGAAGATGGCTAATAAGTGGTTGGTTCCTGTTCATTCATCTTCAAAAGTTAAAAAAAAAAAAAAAAAAGAAATCCCTGCCCATCTCACCATTCTTTAAATTCCAATGAAGAAAATGCTAAGCTCGATCATGTACCACAATTGCACTATATGCGTACAGTCTTTCACTACAAATTCCAACGAGAAAAAAAAATCTGAGCAAGCATTGCTTTTTATCTATATTATAAACTCACATGAAAAAAATTCTAATTCTAATCCCCTAACAAAAATATTGAACAAATAAAAAAATGCAAACAAATCTAGGTCATAGGGTTTGAATTTGATTGGGTGTTGACATGGTCAAGGCTTAAAACCTGGGTTTTTTTTTTTTGAAATGTCCCAAAGTTTGAAGTGGGGTCACAATCAGAGCTTGATTCCCTTCTGATGGAAAGGCATCCCGCATCTTAACAGAGACTGACCAGAGAGATCTCCACGTAAAATCTTCTCTCTCGTGCCCCCATGGCTACATCTCACCTTCTTTCATCCTTCTTCACCGTACAATCAATCAAAGCAATGCTTTAGGATGTGAAGGAAAAGAAGGGTCAAAAGATTGTGGATGACGTGAGGAGTTTTGTCTACGCGAGCGGCGCGGTGCAGTGTGGCGTCTCAACTGCGGACTTCACTTTCTATTCGTGCGTGTAGCACGTTTGCCAGAGAAAAAAAAAAAGGTCGAAAATCAGGAAATGTGTATTTCTTTAATTTTCTTCTCTTCTGTGGTCTTGAAAGGGTTTTTGGTTTGGTTAGCTTTCGGCGAATGATGTGTTCTTAAACGTAGCCTTTAATTTGGAGACGTACATTTACTACGTAATGTATTCCACAGCTAAGTCTTGAGGTTTCTAATTGACCCTTACCTCTGCGGATTTGGAGTACTTTTTTTTCCCTTACGCTTTGGCGTAGGCAGTCGAAAAGTGATAAGAATATCAAATTCTTTTGCAGGACCAATACTAAAAATTCACTTTTCCAAATGGTCATTGTGGTAAGACAAAGTTATAGTAGGTTGTGGGGACTTCGAGATTGGCCAATCAAAATATGCTTAGAACTTCAGTTATGGCATCCTAATCTCCCCCCCTTTTTACCAGTAATTATTCACCTCCAAGTGGTCCAGACATAATCTCTTATTGCAATGCAGTAACTTTTTAAGTTGCTATTGTTTCATCTACCTAGCTATATATTGGATATTTGGAATTGACCCTTTTCATGTTCTGAGGAATAAACTTTTATTTCCGTTATGTCATCAATTTGCTTTGGAATTCATTCGAATAAAGAAAAAAAAAAGCTTCGGATTTTGGATAGAATATTAAGAAAACCTCATTAGTTATCGAAAGAAGTTGTCTTTGTCACGATTAAAATTCCAGTTATCAACGTGCTTTAGTCTGCAGAGAGCCCAAATAATTGGGTGAGGAAAAGCTTTTTCTTGGGAAAAAAAATTTACTCTCAAATGTTGCCTAATATCTAACACAGCTAAGGTCGTTCTCACATATCGTTGGTAGTAGTGTATTTAATGGACCTAGACCATAATTGACATCAGGTGCTGAGGCGATTAGTGTGATGTTCTCTAGGCCCGTTTACAGGACCGATGGATTGACTTTAGATTGAAACCCAAGTTACTCTGATCTAACCTATTGTGAAGTTGAAAAAAAATTAATGTACAAGCACCAAATATAAGGACAAATGAGAAAAATAAAACAAACAGGAGAATTGGATATTTCATGGAAATTTTCTACTTTCTAGTTAAAATTATTGGGTAAATTTAAGGTTTATGTTTTGTCATTATTTATATGGCAATTGAGTTTGATTTTTTTTCTTGTCTTTTTTTCTTTTTTTACTCCAATATTATTGTAGAACAACCTAAACTGTCGCATAATAAATCAGCAATCCGTGATAGAATTGAAAAATTAAAATAAACAAATACAAGAATTAGGACTAATCAGCACTTGAAATTTCAGGATCCTCAAAACACATTAGCTGCTATAGATGCAACTGATTTGGATTTTTAGAAGGAAGAAATTCCTTCAGATTTCACATTCAAACAACTCAAAGTTTTGACGATGTATCTGGTGTGAGTCATGAGATGGAGTTCATCAAATTTCTTCTTGCAAAAATCACCAGTACTTGAGACAATAAGTATCTAACCTTGTGTATATATCATGAATGGAAGACTGAATATATTAATCAAACTGTTGAGATTTAGACGGGCCTCTGCTCGAGCAGATTTTTTTTCATTCAAGATTAAGCATTATGTGCCTTTTAATAGAAAACAATTAAGTATTCGGCCCCTCCATCTACCGGTTTTTTTTTTTTCTTTTGGAATCTCAAAGTGTAGTTGGGCTCCAAATGCATCTTTAAGTTTAACAAATTTTGTTGTAAGTGACTAATAACATTACTGAGAAAAAAATAGCATTAATCAGAAAATCAAAAAATCATTACAAAAATCAAATCCAAAAAACACCCAATGACCAAAAAAAAAAAAAAAGCTCATAATATGCTTTCAATCAATAAATGCTTGGAAAAAAAAAAGACTGCAAGTGCATTATAATCTTTTTCTCTGAAAAAATAATGGGTTCGTAGGCTCCCAGTACCCCCTCTATGATTCTTTCAAATTCATCCTCAGAAAAAGGATTATAGGTTTAGGGTATTATTCACCCATGCCTGTACAAAATAATTCCAAAATTTAAGTACGTTGGTTATAAAAAAATATTTAAAAAAGAAAATCACTTGGTCAAAGGAGATTGGAGTAGGAAAAGAACCCTAATTTTTTTTAAAAGAGGATTAAAGGAGTTTATTTTTAATTTTGAATTTTTGGTAATTTTTTTGTTGATATGATTTATCATTTATATATAATGATGTGGATTTTATGTGTTCAAAATATCTTGTTTTAAAAATTAAATTTAAAATTATTATAATTTGAGAAATCAAACTAAAGAGTACATGGGTATAAGAAAAAAACTTCGGGTTCTTTCTAAGAGTTTAGAAAGATTTTGGCGCAGTGGAGGGCCAACCTGGAGCAATATCCGATCAAACACCATAAAATGCCTATCCAACCTCCATGTCAGCACTATCTAGATGAACTGAATGAGTGGTTCTGTGGCTTCAAAGGCGGAAGACAAACCATCTCCACTTCCCCTTTCCAAATTATCAGATTATTTCCAACTAAAACCAGACAAAGAAAAAAAGGAAAGCAACAAAAACGTAAAGCAAATAAATTTATAAAAACTAACCGAATTGCATCATTTCTGCATTTCATTGACCTGGGAAACTCTCTCTGGACTAGAGAATTACATCCTGTTAGAGGTTGACTATCAATGGCTTCAGTTTCCTCCAGTGCACTATCAATCCCTTCCTCATCTACCCTTGTAGATGCCAAGTCCCCTCGTCAAACAACTGCTGCATCCCTACAATGTGTGACTCTTCCTACTCTTCCTCCTCTGCCCGTTCATTCCCAGAGTCGTCCCTGGAAGACCACTGCTTACTGTAAGTTTAATGACATATATGTCAATATGTCATTTCATAGATATATCACACACTTGATCATGCCTGAAGTACAATACGGAATGGTGTTTAACTGTTTCAGGTCGCAAGATTGCTCGAAATATGATGGCTATGGCCACAGGTGAGGCTCCAGCGGAAGTTGCGACAACTGAGCTGCCAGAAATTGTCAAGACAATTCAAGAAACTGTAAGAATTTTGCCTCACATTTCTTGTAATATTTGTTCTTTTTGTTCATTTTCCTGTTATTATGCAGGATTTTGTATTTATAACACGAAGATATTATTGGTTTTCAGTGGGATAAAGTTGAGGACAAGTATGCTGTGAGTTCACTTGCTGTAGCAGGAGTGGTTGCCCTCTGGGGCTCTACTGGACTGATCTCGGTGAGATTCTAAATATGCGGATTCTTTTAAGCCTTAACTGATTAAACATTAATCATGAATAGCATTACACTTCAATTTTCAAACATGAGAATTAAATTGATTCAATGGGTGTCTTCCCTAACAGGCAATTGATAGGCTTCCTCTGATTCCTGGCCTTCTGGAGCTAGTGGGTATTGGCTACAGTGGGGTGAGCTGGATTTAATTCCCTTTTGTTTCAAGTGAAAGTTCTATAGAAATAAGAACCCCCAAATAAGTTATCATCTTCTTTACTAGAGGTCAGGATTATTTATCATATCCATATATTTTGTTTAAAAGCCAATTCTTTAAAGTATCAAGTTATCAACTGAGAAACATATTTCTGTTACTATCAGTCTTGTTAATTAGGATTTTGATAGATTCCAAGACAAGGTTGAATATATTCTCTACTTCCTCTCAATTGCAAATGAGTTGACTGATCAGATATATCCATGAATAAAATAATCTATAAATTATTAAATCGGGAATTCCCATTTTCTTATGAATTTTTCTATATATTGTCTCTCCTTGCAGTGGTTTGCATACAAGAACCTTATTTTCAGGCCTGACAGGCAAGTCTTCTAATGCATGCTCTCTCAATTAAATCTCTCGTTGCCAGTTCATTTGTGCATTATATTTAATCTTTTTAGCAGAAAAGACCATTATGTTCTATCCTTTCTAAGAATATTACCCGTATCATTGACGGTCTTTCATCCTACTTCTTAAAATTCAGGGAAGCTCTGGTACAGAAAATAAAAGACAAATACAAAGAAATAATTGGAAACAGCTAGAGGAAACTGGTTAAGTATGCTGTTCAGATGAGGTGAACAGTTGAAATCTGAAGCCAATACTTGCAGCATCAACATGTGATCTTGCTTCATTTTTTTAGCATAAGTGCTAACCAGAGTAAACTAATGTGATATGGTTTTGGTCATGGGAAATTGAGATACATGCATATTTTTATTTTCTCCTCCGTAGCATTCTATCTGGTGCAAATAATGATCTTCTTTTGTCAACGTAAACAGTAAGAACTACAACTGTATAAATTTCCAGTGTGCTTTTGCTTGGCTTCATGATGAGCTACAGAAGATAATTCACTCTTTTGCAAGAGAGTAAAAGGTTGTGGAGCCTCAGTACCTCTCCTCTATTTCTAAAGAAAGATCAAACTAAGAAACACTTTGAGATGTGCAAATTACAAAAGAAAAGTAAGCTTCTAGAATTTTTAGGATTAGCTAATAGATTTGTCACATTATTGTTCGTTATATAGGGTTCTATCTGAATTTCTCTTTGTATCTCATTCAAGGTTTACAACTCTATATTTAAATCAAGGTAACTAAACATTTCATCCTCCAAATTCCTTTTTTTTTCCCAACCAATAATTTTTGTTTGAAGTCTCTTTAATGAATTTCTCTCATCTTGAAGTGCCTTACCATCTTAGTACATGGCACACCCACTATTTGAGTGACATGAAAAATAATTTTATTATTTAAATAAATATTAAAAATAAAAATAACATCTGATAAGTAATTAAAAGAATATATAAATTATATATAAAATAATATACTAGATATATATTATTAAATTTAGAGGAGTATATATGAATTAATTATTTAATTATTTATTTCTAGAAATACTAAATTCTTGCATCTCGTTACATAAAGACATGTGTTAAATTTTAAACATGTCCAGACATGTTTCAGCGTTGAGACCCCGTTTCCAGAACTTCTGGTAGTATTCACTGTATGAATAGTTTGTGTAGAAGGGAGGATGATCCTTGTCGATCAGTTGCGGGGAAGGTCGCATGACGGCGTCGGGTGATGGGCAATAGAACGTTGGAATAGAGATCCTCTCCTCCTTGCAATTCACCACTGCCCGGTGCAGCACGCTCCTGTAACTATCGTTACTGAGTACCTGGGAATTAATTATTATTATTTTTTTGAACAACAGAAAGTGAGAGCTTTTCTATCTTCAAAAATATGTAAAAAAAAAATTAATTTCTAGAACTACTTGGAACAATTCGGGCAGACCTTTTCAAATTCAATATTTTCACTACACATAAATTTTCTAAATTGCCGAATTGAAAAGTCAACAACCCTTGAATTTGTCTCTTGATTTCTATTAATTAGCAGCGGTCTACTCTAAATCTCTTATACAATATAAAATGGTGTCAAAGATGTCTCTTACCATATAAAAATAAAAATATAAAACCAACATGGGTTTTCAATTGATTTTAAGGAGGTGAATATTTTTCTAATTAAAAATATATTTGGAATTAACAGAAAAATCAATATACGTGTCATTAAAGTTTTATACTATATATTATGATTGTTTCGAGAATACGTTTCCCAAGCCAAATTGAGTGGGAAAATGAATAAAGAGGAAACTCATAATTACTGATAGGACTTTCTATAAATATGTACGTATTAAATGTCAAACCTGTATCTGGTCACCAATATTGACAATAAAGGTGTAGGGAATGGCGTTGACAGCAATCCACTTGCCATCTTTGCGCACCTGCAAACCAGGCACATCATCTTGAAGGAGAATGGTGATAACGTTAGGATCAGCATGAACAGGTAAACCGTAAGTCAGCTCTGGCTCGGGACAGGGTGGATAGTAGTTGATAGCCATGTGTTGCGCATGCTTTCCCAGTGCAGAGTTGATATAGTCCCTTTCTAGGCCTAAGCTTTCTGATATTGCTTCAAGCAGCCCCAGTGCCAGTCTTCCGGTATTCTTGCAGTACTCAGCAGCATCTTCTCTGTGGAACAAGAAAGTAAAAAGAAATGGGAATAAATTAAATAAAATATACCCCTGAAGATGTGGTTGTGGAACCTGAAAGATGGAGGGTTGGTTGGCCATTCATGAACATAGTCCTCTAAAGGGAAGCAATGGAGTCTTAAGTAATCCCTCCAGCTAGATACATTCTCAGTTTTCACATTGAAACTCGTAGAAAGTCTCGTCGTCTTCATAGGATCGTCAGAGTAATTCTTCAATCGCTCACTCTCCGGTAAATGAAAGAAGTCTCTTGAGACATGCAACATCTTATCTATCACCTCCTTTGGAACGCCATGATTTTTAACCTTCACAGATAACAACGTTTCTTGAAATATTGTAATTAATGTTACTCATGGTCATGGATACATCTTTTACATGGAAGTAAATCTGGAGTAAAAACAAAAGAAATTAAGGACTGCACAAACTAAGCTATATCGTGTACCTGAAAGAAACCGTAATTTTGGCATGCTTCGCCAATCTCTTTGATCACACTAGAGTGGTTAGGACCATAAAGGCCTTCGAGATCAACAACAGGGAAGGAATGATCAAAGGTAACCTCATTGAGGTTTGGACGATCGGATTCAGATCGAACATAATTTGGAGGAACAGAGCTCACCGTTGATACAAGGTCAGTTAATAGTGGCTTCATTTGTGTAGCCATTGGAGGAATTGGTCTTATAGTACTTCTATCCTGACTCGTCAAATTTCTGGGATGGTCTTGATGATGGCAAACTAACAAATTTATAGAGCCCTGAAGCGTAGATATTATGAAATTGCAGGCTGAATTCATTGGTGGGGTCCTTTCTTTTCCATTTATTGGAAAGGAAATAATTTTCCTAAGAATAGATAAATCTAAATTAGTTGCTATAATACTCAAGTCCAAATTTATTATAGTCTAATCAATTCACTCAGTCCATGAATATTATTAATGTAAAAAAAAAAAATTTATCCACAGTTTTCATTAATAGCTTTTTCTGACAAAAATAAATAAATTTTAAATAAACTCCGAAGATGTTGCAATTTGATATTATAAGTTTACAATGGAATGATTAAAGTAAAATTTATCTTTTACACTTTTCAATTATAATTTTTGTAAAAAATATCCACGTATTATATTAAAATTTTTAATTTTTTTACAATCTTCAAGTGATTTTTGTAAAAAGATAAATTTTTTTCAATTACGAAGTGTCACATGTCCAATAAATTTTTTTAATTAATTAATTAAAAAAATTTTAAACGACTAATCAATTATCGAAATGTAAATTAATGATATTATTTAATTTAATCATATAATTAATTAATTAATTTTATGACTAATTAAATATATCACTTATTAATTAAAGATAAAACACTTAATTTGACCAATCAAACTTCATCAATGAATCATTAATTTTTATCTGTATTTAAATTACAGTTGTTTAGAAATAAAATAAAAAAGGTTGTTTTCTTTTAAAACTCTTTCTTTTCTCGCATACTAACATTATAAATGTAGTGTTTTTCTAAACTATTAATTCACAATTCTAAATAAAAGAAAAATATTTTGAAAACCTTAAAGCCTCTTTAAAATCTCAACAGCAAGTTATTAAGAATTGAAAATTTTTTGAAAAACTCGAAAAACAAGATATTACTTTTTGATCTTAATTCTTTCTAAAGAAAGGAGATAAATTTTATTTGTTCAAGATCAAGTTACCAAAACTTTTGAAGCATTTAAAAACAAGTTTTAACGATCCTTGAAGCATTGAAGAATAAGAAAATTTGAAATTGATCTTTAATTCTTTTGTTTTGGATTAAATGTTTTAATCATATTTATTTCAATTGAAGAGATGTCAATTGCTTATTGAGTAGTTATACTTATTTTTTAATTTTTTTAATTTTTTAAAATTTTGATATTTGTATGTTTAAAAGTTTAATTTTAAAAATTAATTTTAAAAAGATTTGTTACTAAAAATATAAGTATATTCTACCAACATAAAAAAGTTATAATTTAATAGACTTGAAATTATATAAAATATTGTTTTAGAAGATAATAAAGATTTTGATTTAATTCTTTATCTATTATCTTGCATATTCCCGAGGTTCTTCTCACGAGTACGGGACATTGTTATGTTTTAAATCTTGGTGAAACAGTTGCCTAGTGGTAGATGCAGAACGACAGTCACAAAAGCGGAGGCAAATGACTTTTGGTGCTTCCAGCATGGTCTTTTTAGTTTTTATTTTTATTTTTTTCACTTTTTAGCGATTGAATCATCTCTGCCGATGTCCTCCTTATGGATTGAGCTGGCAATGAGGAACACTTTTCTTTTGTAACTGTCCTATGGTTTCGTTTGATATACAAATACAGAATAGCTCCAGATTTACTTTCAAAATACTTTAAAATTAATTTACAAAAAAAAAAGTTGGTCATTTATGAATGATGAATCGATGGCTGACATATGAACTTTTCAAGATAGTTTTTTCGCAAACTAATGAAGTGAGCAGGGTTCCATTGTCAAATTTGACTGAAGAAAAAGATGCACTTGTGCATTAGTTATTCAATGACATGAATTTTTTGCAACGGCGTTTTAAGACATAAACTCAACAATCAGAGATCTTATAGTCTGAATTCATGGCGTTGCAAATGTTTTTTACATTGACGTATGTATCAGATTTAGTCAGAACTTAGAATGTTCAACACAACCATCTTTATACAAGTCTTGAGATATACTAACTATTGGCAAAAGTCTACTATCTTCTTTGTATCTACTAAAGAGTTAACTTGCAAAACTCATCAAATATTTTTAGCTTGGCGGCTGAGAAACGCCTCAAACGCTGTTTAATTGTAACCGTATACATTGCGGACAACAAAAAGGTAAACGCCCAAACCGGAAAAGCATTGAAAAGCAACCAAGGAAAAAGAGATAAACGAGAAGCGCACAAACATAACGGTTCTGACAAAGTCAGTCTAACTTTCATCTTGAAAACCACCATTGCCAAAGGTTTCCCGATAAAAACAGTGAGCTTTTGCATCAATGCTCACGATTTACATCAGGGTTCCCCAAGTCCGTGGTTAGCTGCTTCACGAAGGAATAACGTCATGGTTCCTTCGTCACCCGGAGCATGAGTCAGCAACTGGTGAGGGGATGACTAGGTGTTCAATTGTTCATATCTACCAGCCACCTTTGACAACTGGTGTGTCTTGACAGTTGCTTACTGGGTTGGTAATTTTCTGTTTAAAGGGAAATTAACGAAGTATTTTTAATAAATCAATCATCAATTTACAAATTTTGAAAGAAATGGGAAAACCAAGTAGGTAGTAATTATTGAATTAAAAAATAAGCAACAAAAAAAATTAGAAATGAATAATTGAGGTAATCCAAATCTTTTTCGGTTATGCAACAATGCTTTTTACTGTAAATTGCAGTTCTTTTGGATGTGTACTTTGGGACTTGTCTTCTCAGACTCTGTTTGGTACATTTTACTGAAACTGAAATTTTCCATCTTTTTGTAGTAAAAGCAAAGAGGAGCTTTCCAATTGCCATGAAACTCCAATTCCAATTATAATCTATGAAATTTGGATCTTGGAATGTGAAAAGTACAATCCATCGGAGACATCATGGCTTGATTACTTTTCCTTTAATCCTGGTAAGAAATCAAAGTGCAGCAGGAAAGCCTCATTTTAGTTCTCGTATAGATATAAACGCAATTAGGGGCACATCTTTCCAAGTCAGAGAATCGATAGTCTTGTCTTTTCGTATCAATAGAAATGAACTTTTGGACAGAACAGGAAGCAATCCATGTCTTTTCGATTTTGACCCATATTTATAATTCAGAGCTTTCAACATTCTTCATGTTCAGAATTGCTGTTGGCCCATTGGAAAATCCATCAATTTGGGTTCATTGTTACCCTGAAGCCCATCCTTGTAAATTTGTTCTCTACTTAAAATAGCAGGCCACTTAAAAGTTAGTCTCCCTGTCCCCTCCCCTATATAGATGATCTAAAGTCTAAACCCCCAAAAAGGAAAGGACAGATCATTTGAAGGGTGAGACCTAATTTCACAATGATTTTATTCTTTTTTTTAGGTAAATGTCGATTATTATGCAAGATATGCTAATAAATTGAAAAGTAGATCTATTAATCTCTTTCCTGAAGCATCCATTTAGATTCTGAAATTTTGTGTGATGCAATAACAACTAATTCAGGTCTAGAAATATGTTGTTTTGAAATTCATTAGTCTTGTGGGGCTCAGTTCTTCCCAATTCAATGCAAACAATCTTAAATTTCAAGTTTATCTTAAAAAAAATAAAATAAAATAAAAGAGAAAACAGGGGGAGGGAAAATGTCCCTAGATTTGTTGCTAGGGGATCATCACCGTAGATCTGCTATGGAACCAAATCCAGTGGCTTTGACTCTAAACTTACGGCTTCTGCCTGAGCAAACAGTGGAAAAGATTTATCCCCCAAAAGCTTCGCGGAACCGCATGAACCGCAACCGTCGCACTTGACATCCATTCCCACTCGCGTCTCGTGCTTTTCACCCATTAATGCCGGACTCCACATCTGCCCCCAACCGCCACGTACCGGTTACACATGCCTCGCTTGCACAACGTCATCCTCTATTTCACACTTGTAAGTACGGAAGCCACCGGGACAAACAGGCAAGCGGTAAAAGTCCACCTCACAGGAGGGTCCCACGTGGCATAGCTGGAGGCGCTTTTACGGACTTAACCTCACAGGATAGGAACTTGTGGCTGAGATTTGAAGGTAGGAAGCAGCAGTCCAAGTGCAAAAAAGAATAACATAAATAAAATAAAGAAAAATAAGTGAAAAAGCGCAAGGGTGGGCATTAGCTAAATCAACCATTAAATTACTGCCACTTGGCAACATCCAGTGCGTCTCTCCTTTCTGTTTACCGTTCAGTCTTTCGCAGCCTCAAATCAAAGTTGCCCAACATTTTTTTTTTGGTTTTTAGAAAAATAAATCCACATGAAATTGTAGTGGCTGAGATTTCTCCCCACTTCTTCCAAACTGTAGTTTCTGGCGTTTTAGGTCTCACCGAAAATAAGCTTGCTTTCGCTTCTGCTTTGCTTCTTTAAATTCTTTTCTTCTTAACCAAAAATAAAAAACCGTTTTCCAAATTCTTTTGATTCCGATCTCCTCATTGCCGGAAACCATGAGTTCTCCGACAGGTCTCCGGTGAACTCTTTTTCATGCGTGATTGTTGCTTCTAGAGTTCTCATCCAACATGGCTGTCTCTCAAGGTATTTCCACCGCATTTCTAGGGCTTTCCTTCTTTACTCTCCGTTTGGTTGCCTCCTAAAATGATTGTTTTCTTAATAACTTTGCTCCGCTCTTAGTTTAAATTCATGTTGTTTGCACGCAGTTGAGTTTCTTTTTTCTTGGTAACCAAATAGAAGGTAAAGAATACTTTTTTTCGTTAAATTTTATTTTTTTGGCTGTCAAAACGGCAAAGTTTTGCATTTGCTGGAGGTTTGGATGTGGAACTGTGTTGCTGATTACTAATTAAAGCTTTTCTCTCATTTCTTGAAAGGTTTTGGCGTCTACGGGTTCGTTTTGGGTGAGGATTCTGAATAAAGGAATTTTCTTTTAAGTTCTTTGGAAGAAGCCGTCTCTTCTCACTGTTACGGTGGATATATAATTTTTTTTTAAAGTTCCAGAGATTTAACTTTCATCCAAAGTTTACCATGTGATTAAATAAAATAGTTATGAAAAAGTATATAATTTTATTGTTATGATTATGAATGTTGAGAAAATAATATCAATTGGAATGGTAATAAAAAACAGAGACGGATCTCTATCGATTGTTGTTGGCTTTTATGTTTTGCAGTAGTAAATAGCTATCATCAGGTTTTGTGGAGTTCAAAAACGGCTTTGTTATTTGTAGTATAGGACGAGGAAAGAAATAAAAGGAGGTTTTGCTTTACCCGTTGCTCGTTAGAGAGGATTTGAAGCAGCGTTAGCGCTGCCCAGGTCCTGTCAATGGACACATACTCCTCCGGGGAAGAACTCGTTTTTAAGGTATTAATTATTGAAACAGTTAAAACTTTATTTTTTTTTAACTTATGCTTGCTGGAATTGTAAAAGTGGAGTTTTTGTTGTTAAAATCTCTAACTATTGAATTTTTATGTCCAATGGTAGACTAGGAAGCCTTACACTATTACGAAACAACGTGAACGATGGACCGAGGATGAGCATAATAGGTTCCTAGAGGCCTTGAAGCTCTATGGACGAGCTTGGCAACGCATTGAAGGTTTTCACTTATTTTTCTATTTTATTTTATTTTATTTTTTTGTGAGGTGGAAAAACAGAAATATTTCAGTTACTGTCATTTTAGAACTGTTGTTATTGTGGATTGAGCTAAAATTCGTTGGATATGCCTGTTTGGACTGACATATGAAATGCTTTTGTTCTTTATTTTCTTAATTGGAGATCTTTCTCTTCTCTCTTTTCTGTTTACTTGTTGATTTGCAGAACACATAGGAACAAAGACTGCTGTGCAGATCAGGAGTCATGCTCAAAAGTTCTTTTCAAAGGTCATTTGGTGCCTTCTTGCTTATGCTTATATTCAATGTATATTTCTGCTTCTCAACTCTTTTTTCTGCTTGAAAATACATGGAATTGATCCATCAATTTCACTATTTTGATCGGTTGGGAAATCTTAATGATTATTCTCTACCTTATGTTGCCTTTCCGTTTACTTTTATAAGCAATTTTGTTGATTGATACAACAAAAAGGATATAAGAGGTTTCCTCTGGCATATGCAAGCAACAGAATAAGGAGGAAGCGTTAATACCTAATACTTGTAGAGATTACATAACTTTTCTTTGTCAAAAACATGTGTCCTATATCAGTGATCAAATTTATAACCAGTTATATGAAGTACCACACTGGATTTTATTTATTATCTAGAAAAGGCATCAACCTTGAGTAAGATGAGCACCTGAGCTGCTAAATACTAATTTAGCATACCTCATTCAGGGTGATAGCCTTTCTCCTATCTACAAATTTATTTTGCTGTTCTGGAGATGTTCAGCTATTGGTCTCCATATGAGATCGGCCATTAGGTGTGTTCAAGGATGGTTCATCATCATCAGATCTTATCTGTCAGAAAAGAAAGGAGCATGTTCCATTTTTAAGTTGCTATAAATTATTACTTTCTCGTAGGAACTTCACCAGCTTTTTATGCACAAGGCATCCACTTGTCTGGTCACTTTTGAACCGTCTGATGCAATTTTTTACTTAATCTACCACAGCAGAGGTTTTGGCATTTAATATTTTTGGTTTTTTGGCACATAATAGTCATTTAGGTGCATTTTAAATGCTAGTCTGAATTTGTAAAGGGAGTAAAATCCACCAATAATAAGGTACTCAGCAGTAACCATGTCCCAAAATTTTGGCTCTGCTTCAAATTGAATTCTTCAGCATCCATGGGTAGTATGTACTTCATGGACAGTTAGGATTGCCAATTAACGTATCCTTCATGTGTTGACTATCTAAAGGTTTTGACTTTGCTAATAGTTCAATTCATCAGCGTCTGATATTGACAATGAATCTGTACTTAGTAAAATTTGATAGCTAGCTAAACTTCAATTATAGTGGCAAGTATCACATCCTTTCAAGACAATCTCTAAGGGACTTTTGTCCACCTTATTACCTGCATTTGCAACATGTCTCCAGTACGAGGTGGGAGTTTAAAATGTAGTTTTAGGGTGTTTCATATATTGTCCAGCAGGAGGTCTGATGAACTTTTACCAAAAGGATGTTCTTTGCTAGTCATTATGTGTTTTAAGATGTTGATCCCATTATGCCATATGTTCTTCTATATGACCTTATCTGTGATAGGGTGGAATCAGCTGAGTAGTTAGTGCTAGCAAGGATGTCACGTGTCTTATGGTGTAGGTTATAATTTGTTGGATTACAGGGTGAGTTGAGGCATCTAGATTAGTGGTGTGAAATCTCTTTAAATGTTAGCAAGAATTACCTAGTATGAATTAGAGACTCACTAGGTCTAAAATATGAATTTTCTTTTTCTTTCCTTCCATTTCTGGGAATTGGGAGAGTTTGGCATGCAGGATAAGCTACTCATTTATGGTTGAGGATAATACATCTATAAAGATCTGTAACTTATGACACAGAACTAATGTCATTTTTGGTGATGAGGAACATATAATACTAATCTGCATATTTTACTTTTCATCAGAAAGATGATTGCTAATTGAAAACTATATTATACCCACGATATGATCATGCTGGGATCAATCTGTCCCAGAGTACCTTAAGATTTGCAGCCAAGCATAGGAGCAGCTGCTTGGGTGTGTAAGATGTGCCTTATAGGTAATTATGATGTTAGATTTGAGGTAAGCATCTCATAGGTCCATATGAAGAGATTATTCTTATTTAGTGAATGTGGTATACTTATTCAGTAAAAGGAACCACTCATGAAATTTTACTGGATTCTCCTTTAAAGATTTACATCCCGCAGGTTATTGGCGGTCACCTGCCAATTATGTTAAATTAAAGGTACATAATAACGATTACTTTTATTCCTTCAAATTCTTGATTTCTCAAACAAAATGCTCATATTTTGTTGTTAGTAGTTTCCAACATCATATTTATCTTGATTAGCTTATGATTGATAACTCTGACCTGGAGGATAAGCAAATGAAGATTGTTCAAGATTATTATGGTTAATGCTTTTCGAATTTCTTTCTTCCCTCTGAAGTCTGAACCATAACATTGTAATGATCTCAATTTTACATGACAAAAAACATCATGGATAGTTTGATTCACATTATACGGATAAGTTGACCTTATGCAAGATTAAACTATTTTATGCAGAACTTAAAGTGTGATTCCTAAGAAACCACCATTAATTTTCTTTCTGTATAATAGACTAACCCCTTTCTTTCCTTCTCTCTCTCTCTCTCTCTATATATATATATATATATATATATAATATTAAAATTTTCTCCTAGTAAAAGAGAGGGGCTGGTTTAGCCAAGCAGTCATTTAGCCAATGGTCGTGTATGTTAGTTCAATTGTGGCCTGTGTGCATGTCTTGTGCTGTCAAATGTTATATTTCACAGGAGTCTTTGAGGCAAACATGATTATATTTCACAGGAGTCTTTGAGAGAACACATGATGGATTTAAAGGACTGAAAAAATGTAGATAACTCATTAAAGGCAGTTTACAGGATTTACCTTTTGGAATGATCTTACCTGATACGAAGGACACAATTGTTTATATTCTTTCAGAAGGGAGGGTAGAAAAAAATGTGTTAATCTTCTATAAATTTTGCTGATGGATTCTAATTATTTGCTGAGAAGCAGAGAAATCTAATGCATAAAACAGGCCTTTATAATTGATAATAGGAGTATAAAATTTTGTATGAACCTACTGTATGAGATATATGTAGATGCTGGAGCAATTATATATGTGGACTTCTACTTTCGTGATAATATTTTGTATTATTCTGGTTAGATTTTTCTATGTTGCATTCATATGAGAAAAACAAATTTATCTCTTTGTCTACAATAATTCCTGGGAAAATAAATTAATTAAAGGCAAATTGCATTATTCCATTCGTATCATATATTTTCATAGCACACTTCATTTATTGATGTTACATTGGCAAAATCAGTAACTGTAAATATTTTTATTTTTGATTTTTGGGCCAAATTTTCATTTTAGTTGACTATCGACAAATATTCCATTATCAGTTGGAGAAGGAGGCACTTGCTAAAGGCATTACAATAGGTCAAGCTCTTGACATAGAAATTCCACCTCCACGCCCTAAAAGAAAACCAAGCAACCCTTATCCTCGAAAGACGGGTGCTGCCACCTCAGCACAGGTGGGATCCAAGGATGGAAAATCTGAAATGTCAATATCTTTGCGTTGCAAAAAAGTGTTGGACTTGGAGAAAGAACCACTTCCAGAGGTTAATTTCTCCTCACGGACTTTGTTTATCTAATTATTCATGCTGCTTAGTTATTTTCCATTTTTTTTGTTTACCTAAGCTTCATATGTATCTTTTTCTTAGAGACCTAAGGGAGATGAAAAGCCTAGAAATCTGAAAGAAAATCAAGATGAGAGTTGCTCTGAGGGTTTTACCCTTCTCCACGAAGCAAATTGCTCCTCTGTGTCTTCGGCAAACAAGAATTCTATATCATCATCAGCACCAGTCAGAAACTCTTGCACTTTTAGGGAGTTTGTACCTTCGCTAAAAGAGGTAGAAATCATGATGAAAAACATGAACCCTATGTTACTCTAGAACTTTAAAGAAATTTATGAGGCTTCTAAACTTAATGTCCAACAGACAATTCAGGATAATGGTACAAATAAAGCTTCAAACTTGGAGAATTCTTGCATGTCACATGATAAATCAGCTCAAGGCCAGAAAAAGGATTATTTGGATGGTGCTTTACATACCGATGAGATGCAAGCCACTCAAAATTATCCTCGGCATGTTGCTGTGCATGTCTTAGATGGAAGCCTGGGAACATGTGCTCAGAATCCTTCCCAGGATACGCATTTTCAGGATTCTGTATTTCATCCTATGGGCGATGTTCATGGACAACCTAACATGTTTGCAAATCCAGCTGCATCTGCTACTACTGAACATCAGAATAATGAACCAAGATCTCCTCATCAGGCATTTCCAACTTTTCATACTCCCTTTATGCATGTTCGCCCCAATCAAGAGGACTATCGATCATTTCTACACGTCTCCTCCAATTTTTCCAGTCTCATTGTGTCTACTTTGTTACAGAATCCTGCAGCTCATGCTGCAGCAAGCTTTGCGGCTACATTTTGTCCATATGCAAATGTTGAAAGTTCTGTTGATTCTCCAGCATGCAGCCAAGGAGGTTTTCCATCTGGACAGATGAACTCTGCTCCAAGTATGGCTGCTATTGCTGCTGCAACTGTAGCAGCTGCTACTGCATGGTGGGCTGCCCATGGACTTCTTCCTGTATGTGCTCCTCTACACGCTGGCTTTAACTGTGCTCCTGCATCCACTGCTGCAGATCCTCCAATGGAGAATGGTCAAGCTCCAACTGCAAAGACAGAAAGAAAAGATAATACTGATCAAGATTTTTCCATGCAGGACCAACAGCTGGACCCCGAATACTCTGAAGGTTTGCAAGGTCAACATTCAGCATCTAGATCACCTACTTCATCATCATCAGACTGTGAAGAGAGTGGAGATGCAAAAGTGAATACTGAAGTGAAAGCTGACGATGATGAGAAGGCTGGTGCAGTAACTGAGCCTCAAGATGCAAATAAAACAAAGAACAGGAAACAAGTTGACCGGTCCTCGTGTGGTTCCAATACACCTTCAAGTAGTGAGGTGGAGACAGATATGTTAGAAAAACATGAAAAAGACAATGAAGACTCAAAAGGAGCTGATGCAAATCATCCACAAGCTGAGTGTAGTAATCGTCGTAGTAGAAGCATTAGCAACCTGAGTGACTCTTGGAAGGAAGTATCCGAAGAGGTGAGTTGATGTGTCTGTTTTTCCATGTAGCTTTAACTTATTCTAATTGTATTGTGATATGATCGCATTTATGGCTCCACTACTTATTTGTTAGTATCTTTTTTGTCAGGGGCGACTGGCTTTTCAAGCCCTCTTCTCCAGAGACGTACTGCCACAAAGCTTTTCTCCTCCACATGACGACAAGAATAAGGCGCAGCAAAAGGAAAATGTAGGGGAAGACGAGCGAAATACAGATGAGAAAGACAGAGAGGCATCAACTTTAGACCTCAACAGCAAGGCATGGGGATCTTGTTCTGACCATCAAGAAGTTGAGAAAAATGCATTGTCAAGAGGAGAGAGCATTGTGGAAGAGAGCCTGCTAACAATTGGACTAGGACATGCAAAGCTTAAAGCCCGCCGAACAGGATTCAAACCTTACAAAAGGTGTTCTGTGGAAGCCATGGAAAACAGAGTGATGAACACCGGCAGTCAAGGTGAAGAGAAAGGTCCTAAGAGGATACGCTTGGGAGGGGAAGCTTCAACTTGACTTACACTATTCCATGCAATTAACAAAGGAAAATTTTGTTTATTGCGTGTATTTTGTAACCCCCCCCCCCCCCCCAATATCTTATTTCCTTTCATGTTTAATCTTAAGGCTTGCAGCTCACGAGACTTTTCGTGTAGGTGTGTGTGTACTATATGTCAACGTTGACGTACCTGGACCATGCCACTACGGTTAAAAAAACTCCTTTGAAATAGATAAGAAACATTAAGTACTGAATGGCCATTGATTTGGCCTCTTTTCTTCGAAGATATGCCCTTGTCTATATTATTCTTCTATCCCTTTGCTTAGTGATCAAATTCTGCAAAAGCTGAAACCTTTTTGATGCAGTGAAACGGCTAATTAATAAGAAAGGGTTTGTTTGCCTTTCGGTTGCCAGGGGTACAGACTCGTTTATGGAGACTTTTTAACTGCTTTTAGGCCTATTTCTTTCATTCTTCCAGCCTTAACTATAGTTTTCTACTTTAGATGTCAACTTTTCCTTGTTTTTTTAAGTCAATATCTAAAATTTCATTGTCAAAAAAATGTTGAATGGTGAGTGACATTTTTCAATATGATGAAGTATGCCACCAGGTTTTCATACCCCTTGTAGTTGCTGCTTGAGGAGGATGATTTGATCTCCAATTTATTTCAGGTATATGGTTGTTTCCACTACAATTTCATTTCTGAAGACAACAGGGGTCACTGCGTTGAGCCTGCCAGAGAGCTGCGGGCATGACTCAGAGCAGATTCTATCTATCAACATTTAATAATCGCTGTCAGGCTAGACAAAATCCATCAAGCATGCTTCCGGAGATCCAACATTAACTGAAAGAACTCTATCCATGTATAGTAAATAAGACTGTACAGGTTATAATTTCTATCCAGATTTGCAGTCTATCACGAGGAAGAATACTATTATTTACATGTAATTCCTCCTCAACATAGATCATTTTGCTCCAGACAGCTTTGGTAATGTACTTTTTCTATACATTAGATATATGTCCAAATCTATCCGTATAATGTCATTACCAGACAAGTCTTTCTTTATATCCTTGTCAAGAAAACACAATTCAAAAATTGCTGTAGTTGAAATTATCTATAGACAAGCAGCGTTATTCACTTGGGGGAGTCTGCAGACAGCTTGGAAAATGGTGCTGATGTTAGAAACTGAGATTGGTCTGCAAATAGTTAATGTAGGTCTGAATTCGCATCTTATTGGCAGGAGTCAGTGAAAATGGTGGGTTCAATGGCAGATTAAACGCCTCTCTTACAATAAATGAAAGTAAAAGCATTGCTTTAGAGTACGATGCTGCTGCAATACCTTTGTTCTCCGTATACTCATCTACCTAGAACAAGGAAAAAAACCCATTTTGTTGATTAATCACAACTACGAAGGGTGAAGAAAATAAATACAAGTTACTCACAGCTCTTCTCCCCATAGTGACTGCTTTTTGATATATTATTTCCATGGCATCAGGCATCTCAACAGTAGCTGCAATTATTTGACAAATATCTTAAATCAATCAAAAACCCAATTAAGAGTAGTTAATAACAAAGTATTGTTTCAGATTCACTGCCAAACCATCCATATCTTGAAGATGACATGATAACTTCTCCGCACGATCACATGCAACAACAAACCCTTGCTCTGCCCAGATGCAAACAGATGACGGCCTGGTTAAATCTACATTATATTCTGAATTTAGAGACAAGTTTGCACTACCCGGAACATTGCTAGGTTCATTGACTGAACTGCTTCCGGGTAATTCATTTTCTGCAGCAGAGGTCATCCAAGAGCCACAGATCTGAAGAGCTTTCTTCCATATAGCCAAGACAACAAGTTCAACCGAAAATGATTCTAGAAATAGTCCTGCATTATACTGCAGCCAACAGCTGTTAGAGATACTTAATTCAAGGCCATTGAGCATATCAGAAACCTTACTACAAAGTGAGAATGCAGTTAGACCAAGAATGTCATCTGCAACAACAGTAATAGAAATGTTGTTTTTAGAAAAATTAACAAGCTTTTACTCAACTATGAATGGAAAATTCACATGCTAAAATATAATGAGTACTAACTGTCTTTTACATCAGTTGTGAGTACAGAGCACATACAGCACTAAAGGCCATATGTTGCAACTCATGTTCCTACACTGCAAAATCTAAAGCATTTAAAAGTTTATCACCAAAAAAAAAGCAGGCTTTCTTGAAAGTTGAGCAGCAAATTTGAAATGCCAGATAATCTAACGCCCAGATAGGATGGGTATATAAATGGGAACAAACTGACTTTTTAGCTTTTCCTCTAAAAGCAACAAAATGCTGCTGCTAGAATAGAATATCCATGACATTCTCGGTCATGCCATTATCAGTAAACAAGATATACTTTGTATTTATTCAGCAGAAAAGAATAAAAAGATAACCTTTTCTTGAGCTAGTTCTGCTATAGCCTGAGCATACCGATGCAACAATTGCAGTCTAGTTGAGGGATGCAGTATGCTAAGTCCCTGCACTTCCCTTAACATAGCTGATTCAGATGATGTTGCCTGTGGATCTGATCCCTGAAATTGTGGAATTATTGCAAAACTAGCAGAACTCCCAGCAGCCTCCTTTGTTTCCACATAAACTGCTGATTCCTGGTCACTCTTCTTTGCCTGGCACTTTAAAAGCCTACTAGTTGAATTATCTTGCAGGGATGTCTCAAGGTAATAAGAGAAAGCCTCCATTGATGCAAAATGAGGGTTGACAATGACATATTCTTTCTCAATGTACTCCATTGAGTCAGCTACTGGTCATAGGAGGAAAATTAGGAATTCAAAAAAAAAAAAAGAGAAAAGAGCATAAATGGGAAAATGCTTTAGCAGAAGAACTCACCTCTAGGCTGATCTGATGAACATTGGTTATCAACAGATTTCCGTTTGTTATCACATACAATAAGAGGCACTGCCCCATGAGCACCTTCGACACTGGATGAACAACCATGCTCCTTTGAAAGTAATTCTATACCATGTCCAGATGAACTGGCTGATTTCATCTTTCTGCTAGATGTGTCCATGGGATGCCCAGATAGTAACTGAGATTTCTTCTCAGAGGCAGAAGAATCAAACTGCTCAACCATTGATTTTGATTGTGGAAGTGATGAGTCCAGCTCAAGATCCACTTTCTTGCTACAGATAATGATACAATAAATTCAATCCAAGTAGCTTGAATTGCTTTGACTACTGGACAACTTAACGTAGAGCATGTTGAACAGGGAGCATCAAATGTACTAAAAGAGGATTTTACCTTGACTCCCCAAGGAACTTGTGACTGAAAAATTCCATGAATGTCAGACGCTCAACTGCAAATTGAGTTAAACTTTAGATTAAAGGATCCTTACATAAGTATTGCAAGTAAACCAAAGATCTCAAATATTAGCAAATTGCAGGCATAATATCAAATTTTCATATTTTTTAGCATAATTATTAGTACTATATAAGAAGACAAACTTGAGTGTAGGACAACAATCACTTTAACATAAAAATATATGCAAAAAGCACAAAAACCTGCACAATAGTAACCAGTACCTGGATTATGACGTAACAGGCTTCTGCAAAGGTCAACACAATCTGGATGTAATTCTTCTAGGGCACCTTCTGGAAACTGCAGTTCAGTGGATCTCAATATATTCTGAAATAGCTGTGTACAGCAGAGAATCACAATAAATATGAGAAGCATTTAGGCTTTGATAATAAGCAAAACGGATTACTCTTCTCAGAAACCTGTAACTGATTATTTCCATCAAATGGTGGCTTCCCAGTAACCAGTTGAAATAAGATTGTCCCAACACTCCACAAATCAGCCTGCATAGATTGTTATATTTATGTAAAAGATAGAAAAAGAAGAAAAAAAAACAAGAGGGGGGGGTGAGGGGAGAAAAACAATGTAGTGTTTCACCTTTGCATTATATTTCTGATTCTGAATAATCTCTGGAGCCATGTACAATGGTGAACCACAGAGTGTGTCAGCCAAGTCTAGGGGTGTCAGCGATCTGCCATACAAGGTTTATCAATGGCTTTCTATGAACAACAGCCATGTGTCAAAACATTCTATAATTATCTAAATCATAACCATGATTATATAATTTCGAATCACCACATGCAAACATGGCTGACCAGTTGTTTCATGGAACACATTGCTCTATACAGGCTCTGACAGAAGATTTTTTAAGGGGAGGGGGGGGTGTGGGGTGGGGGTGGGTCAATGTGTGTATGTAGGAAATAGACTTTTCCATTCTAAGAAACTAAGAAGAGAAGTCCAGCGAAAGTATCAAGGCCAAAGTATCAAAAGCAACAAAATGATGTAAGTTATACCACATGTTTGAAAGTCCAGCAATGTCAATGAACTTAGTCCTATGCTAAAAGCCCAATTAAAGTGCTCACCTTGCAAAACCAAAATCTCCTATCTTCAGTTGCAGAGTTGCTGCTTTAGTTGACAGTAGTAAGTTCTGCAAAGTTGCAACAAATTTAAAAGAAATAAATTGATAAACCAAAGATCCAGTCTTCATTACATTACAACTACAGATGTTAGATGCCAGTAATTACCAAATAGAGATACTCACATCCAACAAAAGAGAAGCACACTACAGAATCCTACAAAAGAATAATGTCTAAATTTTTTTAAAACTAAATAAATTCTCCAACCAAACAACATGGTCGACACTAGGGGTTCTCATATCAATAATCTAAATTTGGCTTCATAGCATAGAATAACACAATCTAATGAGAATATCAATATTCTACCAAACAAATATACAATTAAACTATGATAATCAAGCACCAGACCTGTGGCTTTAGATCCCGATGAATAAGATGTTTTTCTTGAAGAACTTGCAATCCTGCAGCTGCACAAGATAGTCCACAAATTGTGGCCTTTCAGATTTTTCAATAAGCTAAATAGCAAGTGAATGTGGGATAAAAGGAAAAAATGAGCTCTTACGAAGAAACACTTACAACACACTCCCTTAACCACCAACTTATATAGAATTAATATGTTTGAATTTGAACAGCCAAATACTATTTACGTTGATCCTGCTCCAAATTGCCCAACCACTTAAATAAGTATTACAGGATTCAACTGTAACTGATGAGTGAAGATAAAAGCCAAAAAGAGAAAGGAAAGAAAAGTTACAAATTTCTACGTTTGGCATCATATCCATACACCTAAACACTGTAATTAAGAAGATCTTACAATTAATTAGACATAAAAAAAATTTTCCAACAATAAAAATTGCAAAACCCACTGCCTAACTATCAAGCATTTAATTTAAATACTGTTAGTACTAAACAAGCAAAAGTTTCTTCTTTTAACTGTTTTATGAGGTTCCCAACCAAAACCCACTTCCCTAAACATTCCAATGAAGAGCATCTAACTTAATTGCCCCAACCATTAAATACTTAACTTTAAACCAGCTACTACTATTAATGAGGTTGGGAAGTAAAAACCAATTCCTACATTGCAATAGAATTTATAAAAATTCAAGATATAGTACCCAATTGCCTCATAAAATGCCTGGCAACTTCCTCTGACACTTTCCCATGTTGATGAATATAAGCCGCAAGATCCCCTCCATCACAATACTCCAACACTAGGTATATCCTATCATCAGTCTGCCACAGCATTACTTACACATTAATCAATCAAAAAATAATTCAAAATTGAAACAAAAAAGTGGGTTTCAATTGAATTTTTTTAAAAAAGAAAGACCTCAATGGCTTCAAAAAAGCGGATGATATTGGGGTGATTAATGGTGCTGAGAATGGAAATTTCGTTTCGTAGATTTTCACCAACTTTAGAGCTCAGGAGTTTCTTATCAATCTCTTTAACTGCTACTTCGAACCCAAGTTGCCTATGCCTTGACCTCCAAACCACCGCGGATGAACCCCAACCGATTCTGGGACCCAGTATATAGTCTCCCACTAGTTGGGCATGGCTTGGGCTCCGTCCCCCGAGATCCATCGTCATCGTTATCATCAACGACTAACGAATTGACTCACTCGCTTAACTGGGTTTTAGTTCCCTGAGTTAAAAACATCATCGTTTCTTGTCGTTTTGCTATTTGGTAATGGTGATGATGATGATTTTGTTAGAAATCCTTTGGGTTTTTTTAGCTCCTCAATTAACAAAAGAAAATAAGAAAAAGAAGAGAGAAGACAGACAGAGAAAGAAAGAAAATATTTGAAAACGTTTGCAGTTGTCTTATTGGACTATGTTTTTTATTTCTATATTTTTGCCCTTCATTCCGGTTTTGTTTGTGTGGAAACGACGCCGATGGCTGCAGGGCTGATGAAGTACTTTGACGAGGAAAGGAAGAAACGAAAGAATTGGAATATTTAAGGAATTTCAGATTCGTTTTCTTTCCTTTATGGACAAACCTTTTACCGTGGTAAATTCACTTTTTATGTTGTAGATAGATCTTTATTCTATTGTTTTATAAAAAAGACTAAAACATGAAATAAGTGAAACGGATTATGTTTTTTACCTGTGGAGGCATGTTCTGAATCTTATTGAAGATAAGTATGATATTCCTCCGAATATCTTCATTGATACCTAGTTGAGGTTTTCAAATGCTGTACTAACCTTAACTACTGTTTGTCTTCAGATTGTAAGTCCATTCACCAACACCTGTACCCTTGCCCCTTCTCAGGGCCGACATTTAACTGCTTAGATTTTAAGCAAACATTTTCAGGTCAACCTGCATTTATGCGACAAAGGGTTCTGTCTTAAAGAACTAAATTTGGCTTTTATTTCCTTGCACAATCATTTTTATTTCCAAAATAGAAGTAATTGGAAGAGGAAATTTTTTAATAAAATATATTTACTAGTACTAGCCAGGTCAGAGAGAAAAAAGGATGTGCCGAGGAGGTGGGCAGAGGCAGAACTTTAAATCCAACCTGTTTTTTTCTCAACAGCAGACACGAGGCACTGCCTCAAAGCATTGACCAAGCTCTTTTCTCTCTTGTTCTTAAACAAACTTTCAACCCTCCATGCTATAAATATTTACCTGTAGATTAACCGCAGCTTTAGGATCAATAATCGAAAACTTTTTCTGTGTCTACACTCTTATTGCAGAACCAAGGTACGTTTCTTTCACTTCTGCACTGCTTAGGATCACAAATGAAACCCCTTTTTATTTTTATTTTTTTGTATATATTATAGATCGCGCGTTTACACTTTATCGGCTAATATTTCATGGCCTTAACATTCCTGGGTTTCAGTGCAACGGCACAAGTTCCATAGGATTTTATTGAATCCTACTACGATTCATGAACAAGCTCTAGACTTTGGTTTAGCCGGGCATAGATGTAAAGCTTTAAAAGCAATAAAAGCAACCTTTTTACTTAGTAGTTTTACCATATTGGGAAAAGAGATTGCAGAAGAAATAGATTTGTAGGAAAGTTGCTTATTTATTGATCTTGTCTTGTATTTGATTGATGCAGCAACCTTCATACAGATCAATAGTACTGTGAAGTACTATCTTTTATAATGTACTTGTAAGCATAAACTCCTGACCCATAATGGCTTATCCCTAAGAGAAGATTTATGCGTCATTGGATCAGATTGTAATAGATCATTTATGTTATTTTCTCTTCACATTTTTTTTTGGTGATCCGCAGTGCAAAGTCACTTTGGTTGTGTACTGATTAAAGTAAAATTATGTGACTTTTACGATGGCATAGTATTGGGTTACTTGCTGGTCTATTATCAGTTTATTGCCAAAGCACAAGCCACGTATTAGGTTGTTAGAGTGTGAAAGTTCTGTAAGCTTTTTCCTTACTCTTGAAGATCATGTTGGCTATTGGTTTTGCCAAAATTTGCAATAGTTTCTAGTACATTCCCTGGCATTCATCATCTGAGCAATGGGACAATTTATACTTAGTTGTTTGGGCATTTTATCACCATATGTATCTAATATTTGATTCATTCAGCTCCAAGAAACATTTAGCTACATGTTTTATGCATCATGGTTATTATAAATTCTTAAATCTGATTTATAGTGCCACTCTAATTGGATCAATATTCATTTCAACTGATGACTGGACTGACATAATTACTAGAATTTGATTGAATGTTGATGCAATTTATTCTTCTTGTGGAAAAAGATGAGCGAAGCAGGTCAAAAGGAATCTCCACGTCAAGCACCCCGTCTGAATGAGAGGATCCTTTCATCTATGTCAAGGAGATCATTTGCTGCACATCCTTGGCATGATCTTGAGATTGGTACCTATCCAATGAGTGAATAATCAGATTTGATGTTTTAGCTAATATTGTCTGAGTGAATAATCAGAATGTGCTTGGCCAAGAAAAAAATCAGACTAGGTAACTGACATGTTGCAAAAATATTGTCTGCAGGACCTGAAGCTCCAACCGTTTTCAACTGTGTATGCATTCTTTTTAACTATATCAAATCAATCATATAAATCCTATGGAGCCTGAACTCGTCAATAGAACCTTTATGGATTTAAATTTTTTGACATTAGCCTGTTTTATAGTATCAACAACAACCTTCACCAATTTTATTAGGTTCACCTGAACTTCCCCTAGTTTTCCTCCTTGAAGAAACAATCTTAAGGTTCTGGAAAAAGTTTCTCATATTAAGCCGAAATTTCTAACCTCCAACCACTGCTAATTGTTTGCTTGTTGAATTTTTTGTCCAACCGTACAGGTTGTTGAGATAACAAAAGGTAGTAAGGTTAAATATGAACTTGACAAGAAGACCGGAATGATTAAGGTACGAAAAACTTTACATCCTTCAAAGATAGAAGTTCCTAGAACATGTTCCTGAGCTACTATAGATAGAGCCATACCTCAAGGGCCAAGACTCTTCCCCTCTTCCAAACAATTCCAGTTTTGTCCTGTTTATCAGGACATATGCCAGTATTTCAGTCTAGGACTGGAAAATTTTTGAACAAGGGAAGTATTTACTTCACATAATACAGTCCTGGTCCTCCCTAAATTCTAAATTCTTGTATGTCTCTCCATATTGTAATTGTTTCCTACTATTTAAATGAATCTCAGGTTGATCGGGTTTTGTATTCTTCAGTGGTCTATCCTCACAACTATGGTTTCATCCCTCACACACTATGTGAAGATAATGATCCCTTGGATTGTTTGGTTATCATGCAGGTGAAATACCTATCTGATCTTCCTCTATCCATCTCCAGTTTATATTGTGATGGACTATAATGCCGAAGGATAGAAGTTTATAGTGCTGCTGATATGATTCTGTTTTTATCAAATGGGTAACCTTACTATGGTATTAATGAAAAAGTTATTGACATGATTCTTTAATACTATAGTATTACTCATTTGATATGATTCTTTAATCGCTATATCACTATAATAGCATTTATCGTGCTGCTGATATGATTCTGTTTTTATCAATAACTTTTTCTTTAATATTAATATTTACTATTCTTAATTTAATCACTATAATAGCATCTTATGTGTTTCATTGTCGACGATTGCTTCTTCCACCTGATTTCCACGCCCCCTCTCCTTCAATGTGCTCTGAATCACCCTCTTTGCTTACAAGGAACTTTTCATTAAGGTGCCTAGGAATTCCATGGCTTAGTATCTGGCATTAAGTACATTATGCCAAATTTATTCCTACAACTCGATTGTTGCATCTTTGAGCTGTATGTTAACAAATGAACTGCAAGTACTCAGATAATGTCATTTCTTTGAATAGGAGCCAGTTCTTCCTGGATGTTTTCTGCGAGCCAGAGCCCTTGGTCTAATGCCCATGATTGACCAGGTATTTCATTGAAGTTTGAAGCTAACCTTTTGACACTTCTTCCATTCAGTTTGTGTGATAATGGCTTCATTATTGTCACCCAGGGGGAGAAAGATGATAAGATCATTGCAGTTTGTGTTGATGATCCAGAATACAAACATTACACTGATATCAAAGATCTTCCCCCTCACCGCCTTACTGAGATCCGCCGTTTCTTTGAAGATTGTATCCTTTCAATTTCAAATTATATACTCGTTGCTCAACATATCTGTTGCTTATTGAAAGAATATTTAAGTTTGTTCCCCAATGTGAGAAATACTGGCTTCTTAACATGGCACAGACAAGAAAAACGAGAACAAGGCGGTTGCAGTCAACGAGTTTTTACCTGCAAGCACTGCATTTGAAGCCATCCAATATTCAATGTATGCCTTCCTTAAAGAGCTATAATTATATTAGTCAGCATTTTTCTTACACTTCTCCACCTCACTGAGGTTTTTGTGTTGCTATGGTGCAGGGACCTTTATGCCGAGTACGTTCTGCACACCCTGAGGCCATAGGCTCAAAAAGCTATTTTCCTTCAATTTTCCATTCATTCTTGGAGGGAAATGCATTATACTGAATAAAACATCTTAACTGCAGTTGAATAAGAATTACAACTCCTTTGATTTTTTCTTCTTTTTTTGTAGTTCTGAATGTTTATTATATATTGCTTGTTGTATTAAACTCTCTTGTGAGAAGAAATGAAGAGTGAATGTATCAGTTACTAGAATGTGATTTGGATTTTCACTATTTCTGTGCAGATCATTTTGATCATGCTCACCTTCTATGTATTTCTGTACTGGCCTCTTGTAATCTTTTGAGAGATTTGTTCAAAAACAACCTTGAAGCAACTGAGACATTTAGAATGTATCATTTTCAAAATATATTTAATTCCACGTTACTTAGCATTACTGTAGACTTTAGTCGGCCTGTTTTCAACTATTTTTGGTGCTAAATGGTGTAACTTTTTATTAACCATACACAGTAGAAATATAGATTATAGTAAAAAAGAATAAAAGAATAAAAAATAAAAAGAAGATAACTGCCTCCTGTATCTCGTTTAATTAAGTACAAAGAGGAAGAATTATTGCATCATCTATGCTTTGATCTTTTTCTTCCTCCATTACATTGATATGGACATCAATCCATGCAAAATTACTCATCCATTTGCTTATAAATTTTCCTTGGCCTATGCATAATGTCCATTAATGGGGAAAAAAAAACTACTATGAATTGCGATACACTCCACGACCAACGGGGTCAATTGAAAAGATAGGGTTGGGAACAGAATACCAAGATAATGGTTGTCCTCCACATTGTCATGAATAACATTTGTTTAAAAGTTCCAAGAGAAGCACCGCAGCCGAGTCCTTGGCCTTCTTAACACTAGGCATTGGCTCACCTACGCATTCATCTGTCCACCCCCTGTCAGTGGTATTCACCTTAACAGCAAAGGTAAATCTCTTTGCATGCGCAGGCCCCCCCTCATTCACACACCTAAAGATATCGATGCCTCAGATCAGTTATCTGTGTTATTGTCAAAACACAAGAGGAAGAAAATGTACTGACTGTAATTTCCTACCGATAAGAGGGCATAGGCCAATTTCTACGGAGGCAGATATCATTCAAAGTTTGTCTGGTAAATGTCTGGTTGCCATTCTTCTTCTTTTTCCCATTCTCAGTATTCTCCTTAGCTTCAGCTGTTTCCTTCTCCTTTAAAACAGCAAGCGCATTCCTGGCAGCTAGTTTCTGTGCCATCTTCTTTTGGGGATTCTGAGCAACTCCAACCTGGATACCATCAATGAAAACCTTCACGGTGGCCAAATTGCCACTTCGACTGGCTTTGTATTCCAAGCCTTCAGCTTGTTGCTGGCATCTCTCTTGTAGTTCCCGCACAGGATGCATTGGCAATGTCTCTGGAGTGACCATGGGATGCAACAGAGGTTGAAAAACCTGGAAAGCAAGAACAAAAATTTCCCTTATCAGATCTCCTGTTCATATAGCTGCAAGAAAAGCAATGGAAGGTTTCAGGGACAATAAATTTGGTCTCTTGGCTGAAACTAACCCTCCAGACAACTGTAGTGTCTCGTCCACTGTCAAGAAAAATGGCACCAGCAATAGATTCAACAATATCTCCAAGAACTTTTGGAGCTTTGCAATCTCCCAAACCAAATGAGTTGAACCCAGGCTTTAATAACTCATCCTGAACTTCCTTCACAAAGTCCCGAATCTGAAACAGTGGCCAAGAATACTAAGTTAGGAGGAACCCACCATTTGCAGACTCAAGGAGCCCTACACCAAGCAAATAATGTCCTTTCTGTTCAACTTATTATCCATAAAACAGAATGTACCAATTTTAAACTCATCAAGCATAACTTCACTTGTCACATAAACATACCAGTTAGTCTCGAATTATATCCTAAACTCTATTATTTATGAATTTTACAATTTTTCTTCAGTTAAGATTTTACTAAAATGAAAGTAAAGCAAGAAGATTGCAAATTTTTCACTGGGATCATAAACAACGAAATTTTGGTTTAAAACTATAGAAGGGTGACCATCTAAAACTTGACCTGTACACCACACCACCTAACCCAGCAGTGACATGATAGGACTAAGTAGATTGATTCTAGAAAACTTTTTTTGTGGAAATGTAATCTTCATTATTACTTCATTGATTGACATTATCTATTTTAGTTAAGTCTCTTATTTTTAGAATAAGAAGTGATTTGGTTAATTACACCAAATCCATTAGATATTTTTCTATTGTGTGTAGAGAGTAAATTACTCATTTGATTAGCTGCTTTAATGCATGAAAATCTTGGGTTTTAAGGCTAAGAATATTCAGTCTTTAGCCTATATATTTTTATGCAATTCTAGTATTGTAATAAGACAAATATAGAAGAATAAAATAGTTTTATTCTAGAGATTTCTTTAGTTTTAAAGTAAAAAAAAAAATTTTTGATATAACTTGAAGAAGAAATTACTACCATAAACAAGAAGCACGCAGCTGCAGCCCGTGTCATAACAGACATAGATATGGGTTAAAACTGCCACCCCAACATTAAATATGGACAGCGAAGAAATCAGATAGTAAACCTGTTTTTCAAGGGCACTTGATCCATGTCGAAGGTGCACATGCAGCTGGTGCTTTACTGCAACACGCGCAAAATTTTCATTGTTTACAGCAGCAGCTCGCAAATCAGTTAAGCGACCTGGAGGCAGATTGGTGTATGTGAAAAACAAATGTCTTGTGATAAGATGATCTAAGACCGCATCACCAACAAACTCCAATCGTTGGTAGCAGGATACTCCAGAAGATGGGCGTGAAGCATGAGTAATAGCTTCTACCAACAAGGCCCTATTTTTAAACTTGATGTTCAACGCACCTTCTAGGGCATCAAAATTTACACTCCTAAGTATGCTTTCTGGAACGTTGGATGGTCCCACTACAGATTCCATCTCATCAGGATCAGACTCCACCTGAATCCCAATCCATTTCATGAGGTGGTTAGCTGCATTCTTGCGACCTTCAACATAATAAATTCCGATTAGTGCTTCAACAACATCTGCTAAGGTCTTGCTAGAGAGGACTCTATAAGAACTCAAGTCACTCTCAATCTCACCATCTTCCATATCTTCATCTTCAAACCCATCACCAGGTTCTTTTCCTGGTATAACATCAACAGTTGCCTGTTCTTGATCAAATAAGGACGTGTCTCCATCTTTTGAATCCTCATCGAAGACTGGCAATACCCCAGGAGCAGCCCATCTAGATGGTGCAAAGCGATCCGCTTGGATATATGATTGAAGTCCCTTGTATAGTGCACACTGATACAAAACCATGTTACTCACCATTTGTTGTCTCATCCTGGTCAGTTGACCTTCATGTTTCTGGGGATATTTAAGAAACAAAAAGCGACTAACAACCCATTTCAAGTAAGCATCCCCCAGAAGCTCCGCCCTTTCATAACAAAACGTCTCCTGACAGGATGCGGCAGTCAAAGCTTCCAAAATCTGTATATATAAAAGAAAACATTTAGTGATCATCTGAAAGCTGCTTGAATTTGATCAGTGTGAGGATTACATCACACCTTTGAAGCAGGGACTGGAAATTGTATTATGTGCTTAAGTTGAACTGCAAGAAGCATGCTCTCAACCCTCCTCATAATAGAGGGCAACCTCTGGGCACCTCTAACAAGTGATCCAGGAAGTGGATGAACAAAACACAGCTCAGAAGGAAGAAACACATAGTATGTTTTGTCAAGAGACTCTTCAGATTCACCTTCATATGATACATACACATTACATTTAGCACCAAAAGGACCATAAAACATGCCAAACTAATGTCAGAGACAAGAAGCATTTTCTAAATATACCTTCTGAGTGCTCAAATCGAGGAGATAAGAGATTCTTGCAATATGAAACACCACGAGCTCTTATTAAAGGTTGTTGTTTGCATCTCAACTCAACACCGTACCTGATAATGATATACAGAGGACTTAATAGCCTAATGCACTCTTTGTTGCGCGAGAAGAAACAAAAAGCATCTTAATCTGCAAGGACATCCACTACTATCAGATAGAACTGTGAGAAAAGCTCACATATTCTGCACCCAAAAGTAGTCAACCATGTCCTTCACAGAGTAAGACATGCTTTTCTTTTCTTCACACACAACAACAGAGGTGCATTAAGGCTATCCCATCCATTAAAAAGAAGCAATCAATAGGCAACCAATTGTTACTTTTAATTTTAATAAGGTGGAGAGAACAAAGCAGGAATTAAATAAGAAATATCAAATTCATACTTCTGCTTATAGTAATTGGCATATGAGCTATACTCCAGAGGACCAAGATAGCCCTCTTTCCTCGGGAAGGAAGTCTCTGCTGTCATGTCATAGCGTATTGAATCCACATAAAACCTCTTCCCAGAATGGGCAGCTGTTACTATTCTTCCAACAAGATCTTCTGCATGTGTGAAACCATCAGCCATCATCAATTTGCCTTCAGTCAAATCCCCTTCTCGTACCTCAATAACATCTCTACTAGGAAACACACCAGTAGCTTTCACAACATCAAATGGCGCTACAGCTCCTCTGATACCATAAGTAGGATGAGATTTGTGCCCAAAAGCCAGGCCATGACGCAATTTCCCAAATCCATACTCCCTTCTGTCACCTCCAAGCGACCTCTCATTTGTGCCAAGGTAAACATCTGGCCTAGCTCTCTGAAGGGGATTGCTCCATGCATCTTTTGTGATTATATCATCAACCAAATCCCAGTCAATTTCTTTTACAGGATCTACAAACTTATCGCCAACCACAGGGACAAACAAATATGCCTTGGCAGGATCCCAAGGAGTGGTGGAAGGATCAACATCCACATCCAGTACAATGCTCATCAATCTTACATGAAAACTTTTAAGGGATGCCAGCTGCACATAAGCAGACTTTTTAAGTTATATCAAAAGCATAGTCTGAAGTATAAACACCAAAAGCCTCAAATTGTAATCATTAACCAAACAATTTAAACAGCAACTCACCTGACTTTCAGTAATATCTATTGATCCCCTGAAGACAAGAGATGCCTTAGTTATCATCGCTCGAGCAATAAATAGATCCACCGACATCGATAACACCTGTCATTGAAAATTTTGATTTGTAATTAACATCTTATTTACCAAATGCATGTTATGCTAGAATAAAAACAAAAGAAAGTACCTCTGCATCCAGCTCTTTGCCAAAAAGCACTGCAAAATCTGAGACTTTAGTTAAGAATGAATCTTTTGAAGAGCCATTATTTACACATTTGATAGCATACATGTACAGATGAAGTATTTTGGAGTCACTAGTGCCATTTCCAGATAAAATCCATTCTCCCTGTGGACCAGAAAGCATTTTAACAT